AGGGTGGGGAGGAGGCGAGGTAGGCCAGATGGGCAGGGGCCGGAGCCATGGGGCCTTGTGGGATTTGGAGCGGAGATTCCAGGCCCTCTGGGGAGGCTGGGGAGGCTGCAGGTGAGCAGGATGTGATTTGCCCGGTGCTGGTTCTGTAAGACGTCCCTCTCTCATTATTTGCTCCTCGAATCCCAGGCTGGACTTCCTGAGGTAGCCCAAGAGGCTGGGAAGTTTCTTCTCCTCTCTGCCTCTTCCTAGCACCCCTTATTCAGGCACAGTCCCCACTCACTGCCAGAAGGACAGCTGCCATTGCTGCTAGTAGAGGTGGTCTCTTTTTGGTGCCCCCCACTCCCTCGTCCTTCTCCGCATCCCTCCACTGCTAAAGGGCCTCACGTGGCCGCTCGCGGTGAGGGGGGCCTGCGGCTGGGTGCCCTGAGGCAGCAAGGGGGTCATTTCTAGGCCTCATTGGCGGAGGGGTGGGGGGTATAGGTGTCTGTTGGGAGGGTCTTAGGAAGGCTTCCTTCACTACCCACACGCCCTCTTTCTCTAGAGAATTGTCCACTAGGAGATGTTCATTCCTGTCAGAGGCAGGAGGTGGCCCCTGGCGGCAGCCTGAGGCAAGATGGCTTGGCAGAACCTTGAATCCACCTTGTCTTCTTTTTCTGAGGTTGTCTGAGCCATAGCCAGAGACAGCACACCACCCATCCCCACCGCATCTGCCCCGGGGCCAAGCACAAGGGCCCCCCCGCCCGGTGAGGTATCCCGGGTCAAACGCACCCAGACCAGCGAAGCTCCTAGTCACATGCTGTGCTCTGTTCCGAGTCATGCCCAGGGGCCTGTCTGGTGCTCTGGCCTGGGAGGGAGTAGCAAAGACCCAGCTGCCGCGTGAGACAGTCCAAGCGGGGACCCCAGCTCTGACCTCCTAGCACACGTCTGATGGTGTTACTTACCCTCTTTGTGCTATTTCCTCGTGAGTAAACTGGGAATCATGATAGAACCTACTTTATAGGGTGGTCGAGAGGATGAATGGTTAATTTATATGTGGAAGGGCTGAGGAGAATGTCTGGAACATAGTAAGCACTCCAAACATGTTGGCTATTACCATTCTTTCCTCTCTTCCCTGCTGGTTGCAAGAAACAAACCTACTCAAGTTACACCAAGTAAAGGCGTTGAGTGTAAGGTCTTCTGGTGAAGGAGAGGCTTGGGGCAGGTAGCAGATGGCTTGGCTCTCAAAGGCCACCGCTGCCTCCATTTGTCTCACCAGACCCATCGGCTTGCTCGTGTTCACCGGGTCTCCTCCCTCGTGACTTCAACCTCCATATGGTGGTCCCTAAGGGTCACCTCCGTGCCTCCAATCTCCTCATCATTGTGGCCATTCATCTTCCCCTCTTCCTGCTAACACGTCATTTTCTTACTTGCAGCTCAAACTTCCTTTAAAAAGGCCATTTATTGACCCAGCTTACCAAGGGCCAAGGTTACTAACCAACCCACCATCAACTGCCTTTGGTTCAACTGCCATTTTTGGCCCAATCAGTTGGGGCCAGGAGATGGGGTGACATGACACCAAATGTGGCCACTGAAGCCACAGGGGTGATAGGATGTTCCCTGTAAACAGCAGGGTGGGCATGGCAGGGGATGGTTGCCATTTCCCATGTGTTTTTCTATAGCTTTCTGCCAAGGCACCAAGTGAGCCCTCAGATCCGGAAGAAATAGTCAAGATCAATATCCTCAACCCCATTATTTTATAGATGAGAAAACTGAGGCTCAGCCAGGGGAATAGACTTGCTCCAAATCTGGTAGCCAGCAAATGGCAGGATCCTAGTTCAAGACCTCCTTAAAGCTCGTTTGGTTCTACCACCCACTCTTCCTTTCTCAGACAGTGACAGACGCAGCAAAAACTCCTCAATGAGTAGAAGTGACCAGGGACTAATACAGTAGCATTGTGGAGTGCTTGGATGGCTTGGGCATGTTACATAGCTCTTACTTTCCAGACCTCACTCCACCCTGAGAAGTGGCCTCTCATTAGCCCCACATTCCTTAGGAAACGGTGGCTCTGGGAGGTTTGTCGCTTGCCAAGGTCAACCAGCTGATACAAGTCACGGCTGGGAGCCATGCTCAAGTTTGTCTGAACTCAGGGCCTTTGCACTTGCCCCCATGCCCAAAAGCTCACCAAGATCACCCAGTCAATGTAGAATGTGGGGGTAGGGTGTGCTAGGAGTGGGTGTTGGGGGGAGTAGCTAGATCCCAAGGAACATGGGCCCAGGGCCAGGAGAGCCAGAGGTATCTTCTCTCCCTTAATGTGATCCTGGGACTTTGGGCAAGTCCTGGCTCCTCTCTGTTGCTCAGCTTCCCCATCTGGAAAATGAACATCTCATCCACTATCTGTATGTTCTTTGGGGAGTTGGAGTAAAAAAAAAAATGAGAAAATAAATATGGCACTAATGCAAAGAATCCCTAATACTTACTTCTCCTCAATATTAGAGTTTAAAAGAGATTGATAAATAATAGAGTCATCATGGGTTTCAGGAGAAGCCGGCATAGACTTTAATCTTAAGGTGGTGGTCGGGCCAATGAGGCCTCCCTACATCCAGGACTTGGGGCACCACATAATCCTGCCTGGCCTGAAAGGGCCGAACCAGTAGGTGGTGCCTACATTTCGTCTGGCAGGCAGGGTGGCAGAGGGGACGGGTTTGGGCCCCAGCACAGGGTCTGTTATGGAATCCCAGACTGAAACCTCCTACACATCGATTTCCTCATATATAAAATAGGGATACGAACATAATTCACCCCTGCAGGTGGTTTTAAGGGTTCAATGTGAAGTGTGCAAAATATTTTGTACCATGTTCTTAGGAAGAGCATAGAGTATGTACTCCATGCGTATTAGCTTTATTATTAAGTTAATCTGTTGTCCATGCGTAAGTGCAAAGTTCTAGTGTATTTACATGGACATCTTTCTAGGGTATCAGTTAGCTCTTGTTGCATAACTAATCACTCTAAAATGTAGTCACTGAAAACAACCTCCATTTATCACTTCTTATGGGTCTAGAGGATGAGGACAGATCCCTAGGATCTCCTTTGGGCAGCTCTTATTTCCTGACACAGGGTTTGGGTGGGGTCGACACCACCCTTGGAACCATGGACTGCCGAGGCCCATTGGTCTATCCTATCCCTCGGGCCTGCTTCGGGAGCAAACCTGAAGCTCAGTTCCGGCCAGTGTGAAGCAAACCTAAGACCTGCATTGTATTGACGCTGAGGAAGTGCAGACAAAGGGAGCTTCTGCAGAGATCCCAGACAGCCCGTGTGAGCATGAAGTTAACACGCGGAGCTGAGGAGAGCCAACGAGAGGGAAGCAGAGAACCCCAGCCTGGAGGCAACACTCACATTCTCATGTCCTCCTGTATTTGAAGCCGGTCCTAGCCTAGAGTTTCCAGTTATGTGAGCCAATAAATTCTTTTTTAAAAGGCTGTTTGGATTGGATAGTTTGTCACTTGCAAACAAAGAGTCCTAAACAGATATGTCCAGAAGTGGACAGTCCAGCAATGGACTGCTTTGTGGCTAGCAAAGCAGACAAGCACTTGAAATGTGCCTTCTCTTTGTGCCTCGGTGGCACAAAGACACTGTCCTATTAATCATTGTCATAATGAGTCAAAGGTGACTTCAGAATCCTGGAGTGATCATTGGTGCAAGTAAACTGTGAGCAGCTTGAGGGTAGGAACTGGGTCTTATCCACCTGTTTCCCCAGAAGCTAACTCAGGGCACGGTGCACACAAAGGTGCTTCCTACACTCCTATTGAATGAATGAGAAGCCTGTGATCTGAGGCTCTCAAGTGAGCACGGTTGCTGCGAGCAAGTGAAAGGTGATAGAATGTATAGAAAATGTAGCCTGTCAGAAGGTTTCCCAGTACTGGGCCCTGGAATTAGCAAGAGGCCAGCACTGAATGCTGGGAGCTTAGGGTGAGAATAATGGATTCCCTGAGGCTGGGAGAAGACCTCATTCTCTTCTGCACAGAAGCCCCTGCATGAAGATCCACCACAGAGTTCATCAGAAGGGAAAGGCCCGGAGCCTTCTTGGACTGCGGCAGGCCGCAGACTCCCCAATCGTGGGGTGCTACCACCAACGCTGATGTAATGGACGTGCTCGATGACAGGCAGTACAACAAACTTGCAGAGAGCATGGCTCTGGGTTCAGATTGGGCTCCTTCGCTTCCTAGCCTAGCCTTGGGTGAGCCACCTAACCTCTTAGAGCCTCAGTTTCCCCATCTGCAGAATGGGATTTAAGAAGGGTACTTACCTTCAATAACCATTATGAGAATTTGATGAGAAAATGCATGTAAAGGGCTTTAATCTAGTGCCTGGGACAGAAATAAGTGATCAATAAACACTTCACAAACACACACACACACACACACAGATTTAAAATAAAAAAAATCCAAGGGGCAGTATCACATGTGTGAAGACACAAATGCTAAAATGTTGCATATGCCTTCACAGGGAACTCAGGATCCTGTGGCCTCTGGTGACCTGTCTGAAACTTCTGAAGGCACTCTTGCAGATGACCACTCCTTCTCCCATTTCCCCTTCTTTGACGTTTCCAGCTCCACCTTCCCACAGTTACCTTTTTCTTTCTTTTTTTAAGGATTTTATTTATTTATTTGACAGAGAGAGACACAGTGAGAGAGGGAACACAAGCAGGGGGAGTGGGAGAGGGAGAAGCAGGCTTCCCGCTGAGCAGGGAGCCCGATGCGGGGCTCGATCCCAGGACCCTGGGATCATGACCTGAGCCGAAGGCAGACGCTTAACGACTGAGCCACCCAGGCGCCCCGTTACCTTTTTTCAATTAGCTCTACTGTTGAAGCAGTCCTCCTTGGAACCTTGGCCTTCCCCTCCTTGGATCTGAGCTAAAGGAGATTTCAGGGACGGTTCCTGGAGGAAGCACACAGAAACACCCCTTTGGGACCTCCCCATCCCCCACGTGCCACCTCACCCTTCCAAAAAGCCACAGGAGCATGTTTGAGAAAAGTTAAGCTGTTTTATTTCACAGGATAGCTCCACGTCAAACCAGCAGGCACCATCAGAATACGCAACAGAGGATCCAGTCAGACACTCTATAGGACGGGCGTTTGGTTGTTAAGGTAGAGAAACGATATCCGGAAGAGGGCGACACTTATCATCACATGGGGACAGGCAACCAGCAATTTCCTAGGGTTGTTTTCGTGGGTTTTTTTTTTTTTCCTGACACAGTCTGGGGAGGAAGGAAACCAAAAGAAACTAAATTGACCAGCCACTCTGAAGCAATCAGAACCAAATCTATTGCCAAACCGTGTAAACAGTCACACTGCCCGGAACTAGAGTCTGGGCCGGAACTCTAGCCAGAATCTACTTCCGTCTAAGGAAGGCCAAGTGCACTCTGGTTGCTCTGGTTCAAGGAACAGCTTTGTTATTTGCCTGGGACAGTTCACACAGGAAGGAGGTGTCGGCAAGGGGCAGCGGTGGCCATTCGGCCAGTCCCAGAGGATGGGACAGTGGGACGCTTGGCAGACCGACCTCAGAGAAGCCAGGAGGAGTCCGGCACGGCAGCGATGTCCCTTCTCTCGGCTCCCCCAGGGCGGCTTTGGGTATGTGGGGATTTCTCTCCACGGCTGCTCCGAAGAGAGGAGGCCCCAGAGAACCGGGGAAGTTGACATGAAACGTCAGCATTAGCTCTGCATAGCAGAAAATCAGCTAAGCAACACCTCGCTCACCCCTTCCTGCCTTGTCCTCCCCGCCCGTCCTCCCGAGCCCCACAAGGGTCCCCTGCCAGGGTTGGGAGCCAGCCATTCTTCTTTCTGGGATTCTCAGGAGAATGAGGCATTTGCTCAAGTGTGGAACCATCTGGACGTGTGAAAAGTTAGGAATAGAAAGACTGAGAGAAAGAACCATCACATTAGTCCTTGTGGTTTTCCATCGGCCGCGGACGTGTGCTGAGTGCTAAGGAGCAACCAGGCCCCAGAAGTCCTCTGCATCCGTGCCTCCTGAATGAGAAAAGTATACCCAACAAGGCACTCCAAGGGACTCCAGCAGAGAAGCCGGCCCCACGTAAAGGCCCTTCCCCTCACTGGCTCCCCTTTGTGTACCACAACCCAGTTCTGAAGTGTTTATAAGGCAGATCTCTGAGCTGCTACTTCCAGCCGGGCGCCAAACGCTGGCCCCGTTTCCCTGCGTCTCTTCCCACTCGGATTTCTTCGTTGAATAGAAACCTTTCATCCCTTGGGAATCCACTTCTCCCCTGCCTCTTGGCCTGGTGACCTCAGAGAAAAGACTCCCAAGTCTAATTCCCAAGCTTACAATTCCCTCCAGTTGTGTGCTCTGTCCGGGGTTCAAAAGGCGCTTCAAGGTGAGAAATCGTTAGCACTGAAAACAAGGAAAGGCAAGAAGTTTTCATAGAATCCCACAGCTCAGAGCAGCTCTTTAAGAGGAAAGGGGAATAAAGGGAGAGAGGGAGAGTGGGGTAGGAAGCACGGCTTGTTCTCAATTTTATCGGAGAAAGGTCTTTAGCGGCGGCTGGGCCCCAGGGCCCAGGAAACTAGACCAGGAATGAATTGTCTTTGGTCAGTTTTAAATGAACATCTTGCTGGTTCATTCCTAAAACAGACTAAACATCGGTTACACATAAAGACAAAAGGCTTGACCTCAGGGTAAGTCGAAGGTTAAGAAAAGAAATCATTCTGTGAAGAAAAAAAATAAAATGCCCGTTATCAATGAACTGATCAGTATAGCTCTCAGTAATGGCGATGAACAAGTAGGTAAACACCACTCCCCCTTGTACAATTGGTTATATTGAGGACTACTAACTAGGTTTACTACATTTCCCCCACACTCACTGTACAGTTAGGTTTCTGGTATTTGTTTTTTTACATTGATCTATCTACTAGGTGCAAAGATTTGGTGAGTGGCATTGGCTATAATTTAATCGTAGCCTTTTTAAAAATTACAGTTTCACATTTTAACAGTTACTTTCCAGCATTTAAGCAAATACAGCAATATATAGTGGACTAACACAGGCAGGAGTCAGGAAGAGAATGCCAATGCTCAGTGACCGTGGATGGGACAGGATGCGTGTGGAGGGTGGTGGAGACATGCATAGTGGCCAGATGAGGGAGTGCGGGGGGAGTGCAGGAAAGGATTTTTCCATTTGGTTCTGCGTCAAGGGTCAGATCTGGGGCTGGATGAGTAGGGCTTCCCTAAATGTGAACTCATCAGCCGTTTCCCAGTGGAAAAATAGGTGCTTAAAAAAAAACAGCTAAGGCTCTGCCTTCAGGTAATTTGGTTAAGGGCAGATCCATTTTCAGTAGGGAAAAATGCAGTCAATTCATGGGAAAACCCACACGGTCTGACTGGTGTTCTATGTATCAGGCAACAGATTTGTCAACTCAGATTTTCGCTTTTCATCTGGTAGTCATGGCAAAGAATGTGACACAGGAGGCTACTGCATTTAAGGTCTGGGGGTATCTCTGGGGTAGAAATGAGAAGCCTGTGTCCTGGCTGGACACAGTCCTTGTGTCCTTGCAGGTAAACGTCTGACACAGCCCTTGCTCTCGGCCATCCATTAAATCTTGGGCACGTCACAGCACATCCCAAGGCCTTGCTTTCTTTTTTAAGCTGTAAAATGGGGATGTCGTCATCTGCTCAAAGACAGAGGGGCTCCTAACTGGTTCTGAGGCTCTTTCATTTCCGGGAGCTCAAACAGAATGGTTCGTTTTAGGCTAAACAAGGAAAGTTTGTCATTGACCTCTCTCTGGCACTCTTTGTGCCCTTTCTCGATTTTTCCACCGAGTGTGCAAACTGCCAATCCCTCCGACAAGGCAGAACAGCTTAGCACTCCTACACACCCAGGCATTAGTGATTTAATAGGCCCCTCCCCCTGGGGCGTATTTACCTTTTTATGGAGGACCAGAAGAGATGGGAAAACTTAATCCAGTGGGGTGAAATGGTAATGACAGAATTTCAAGCATCAATAGGTAGTATCTCTGTAGGGCTGTGCTTCAGGGCTCTTAAGAAACTGTTAGGAAAATTCCACTGCCCAGTTCTCAAATGCCATTAGAAGACTTCAAAAGGAAGATCCTGGATGGGTTTTGATCTAAAAGACTTACCTTACTAATGATAATAAAAAGAGCAATCGTGTTGGCACAGTGCTTTCCAGCTTACAGAACTTGCTCATTTACATTTTACCTTTGTTACCTTCATTTTATGGAGCAGGAAACTGGGGCTCAATGAGGTGGAGTGACATGCCCAAAGTTCCACAGCTCCTATGGGGTGGGGGCTGGGACGCAAACACAGGACTTTTGACTCCAAACCACAGCCATGGAGATACACTCAGAGGCCTCGGGAGAAAGAGAGAAAGCTTGAGAACAGTAAGGAGACCCTTGGCTTGGAATGAGGGGATGAATAAAAGTGGTCCCCATAGGATCTGATCCACCTGTGTTCCATTAGCCAGAAACAGCCTATCTCTGGAAAATGAAAAGATCAAAAGAGGAAGTAAAATGGAACAAGAGTGATCCAGAAGGCCTTTTCCCAGCTGAGAGGGAGAAGTCTAGCTCCTAATTCCTAAAAGTCACTCACCTCAGTTCTATCACCATATTTGCAATTACATTAAATGCTCTGGAGGTGGTGGGGGGAGCGTGGGGGGGGGGGGACGGGTTGAGAAGGGAAGGGAAGGGAGAGAGGGAAGCCATTTCACCTGCATAAACTCAACTGGAGTGTTTTCTGGGACGGAAAGTGCCAAGGATGGCCCCCCTCTGGCCCCTACTGAGAGGCTCCTGGGCCTCATGCAGGAGGGCACCAGCCAAAGTGGGTCACGGACTGATTTTAAATTAAAATGACATGACTGAAAGCCTCCTTGCCTGTTTAGTTCCAGATCTGACACAGTATAATTAGTAGAAAGAAGAAAAGAAAAAATTAAATATTTTGAAAATGGTATAAGTTAAACCTCTATAGTTACCACAGATTTATTCCTACAGCGTGTCTAGGTTTTGAAGTGTTCCACACCACTGTTTTTGTTTTTCCTTTTTCCCAACCACACAGAACACTGTGCTACGATGGGGCTTAGGTTCTCACTACCCCCTTTTTCTACATACAAACACAAGGATGCTGTGGTCAGGGGCCATCTCGCCAACATCCTCCCGTGCCTTCGGGGGTACAGTTGGCCCTCGGCCTCAGGGTGGAAAGGCAGGGTCTCTGGGGTGGACGGGGCGGGGGGTGTTCTGTGAAGGGTTCCCCACCTCTAGGAGCAGCCTGCTTGGGGGTACCGCCTGCCCCACCCTTCCGTTAGGGGCAGACTGTTCTGGAAGGCCACGACTTCTGGAGACAGTGGGAGACTATTGTGTGTTTTTCTGCAGGTTAGTGGTGTATTGCTTCGTTCGAAGTCACTGAGGCCTCTAAATTCTCCCAGAAAGGTCCCTGTAAGTCCCACCAAGTAACTCAGCAGGAGGTGTTTGGTGGCATGGGTCTGAGGTAAATCTAAGTTTCATAAAAAGAAAAAAGGAGATCCTATATACATTTAGTCGTGTGTCCAGATCTAGTATATGTATATAGATGCATAAATATATATATATACACACACCGACACATACATGTATGTGTGTATATATGCACACATATATATACACACATATTTATGTATGCAGAGAGAATGTCGAGAGAATAATTTTCCAGTGACCATAGGCGGGGAAGCCGTCGAACATTTTGGCCCAAGCTGAGGAGATGCTCTAGTGGGGCCTCCTGCCCTCCCGCCTCTCCGCCCCCCCCCCGCCCGGGGGGCCTGCTCGCACACGGGAGGTCTGTGGGATTCACATGGCTGAATACCAGCTGCGGCCAGCGCCCGGGCCTGGCGCTGCACAGACGCGCTTCCAGGCGACCTTCTGGTCCCTGCCCGCCAAGGCCAGGAGCCCGTGGCAAGGCCGCGGAGGTCAGAGAGGCCCCCCTCAGCCGTGGCGGCGCCGCCCCGTGCTGTAGGTCACATGGTGCCCGACTTGTCCGCGGAGCTGTTGGGGAACATCTTCTCGGTGGGCGTCACGGCCGGGCTGCCCACGCCCGAGCTGCTGCTGCTGCTGGAGCGATGCTGCACCACGGGCCGCACGGGCCGCATGGGGGGCGGGCGCAGCTGCGCGCCGGCCAGACGCGCCGACAGGGCGGGCTTGAACGTGGTCATCATCTCGGTGGACGAGCTGCTGCTGCGGCGCATGGCGGCGTCCGGGTCGCGGATGACGATGGTGTGCAGGGGGCTGGCGGGCTCGGAGCTGATGGGGCCCGGCGGGTTCTTCAGGGGCTCCAGGGTGTCCAGCACCACATCTGGCGCCTGCTTGACCGTGTTCTGTCTCTCGAGTTCCCGCAACTCGTGCAGAGCCGTGCTCATGGTCTTCTCGATGTCCTGCCCACAGAAAGAGCTCTGGTCAGCACAGGGGCCGGAGGCCTGGCCTCCAGGCCTGCCCCAGCTGCTAATCGGCCTATGGGCTTCGTACAGAGGCACACGAGCCTCATGCCTGGGATGGAGATGAAATCTCCAGGGTGTCCTACGACCAACTGAGGGAATCCGTGTGGGCACCACCTGCACACTTGCCTGCACAGGTAGCAGACTGCAATGAGGGCGGACTACTGGTCGAGAAGGTCGGCTCTGGAATCAGACAGGCATGGGTTCGAATCCTGACTCTGCCACTTCCTTGCTATGTCACTTTGGACAAGTTACCTCACCTCTCTGAGCCTCAGAATCCTCATTGGTGAACACAGATCATGAGAACACGACCTCAGGGGGCTGATGAGTGTGTTAAATGATATGGTCCCTGTGAAGAGGTTCCCATGGCCCCTGACACATAGTAGGCACTCACAAATAATAATGGCAGTAACAATGGTAATAAGAGAGCACCAATCCAAGCCCTTTCCTTTCGTAGCTCATTTAATCCTCACACTTATAAAGTAGGAACTACCATTATGCTCATTTCACACGTGAGAAAATGGAAGCTCAGCCTGGTTAAGTAACTTGCCCAAGGTCACACAGCTAGTTAGTAACATAGCCCAAGTCTCAACCTAGAGCCCAGGCCCCTAGCCGTTATTGTTATTTTTTAAAAATTATTTATTTATTTAAGTAATCTCTACCCCCAATGTGGGGCTCGAACTCAACCTGGAGATCAAGAGTTGTACGTTCTTCTGACTGAGCCTGCAAAGCACTCCACCATTATTATTTAAAAAAAAATCCTTGCCCATAGAAAAATTCCTTGGTGGTTATATATTAGAATGTCCACAAAGTTCACACCAGAATAATGCGACTGTCACTTTCTTCTCTGTATTGTAATCAGATCTCAACCTGGAGATCAAGAGTTGTACGTTCTTCTGACTGAGCCTGCAAAGCACTCCACCATTATTGTTAAAAAAAAAATCCTTGCCCATAGAAAAATTCCTTGGTGGTTATATATTAGAATATATTAGAATGTCCACAAAGTTCACACCAGAAAAATGCGACTGTCACTTTCTTCTCTGTATTGTAATCAGAAAAGTTTGCTTTTTAAAAAATGTAAATTTTAAAAAGCAACAAAACCTCTCATTTGCCTATGCAACTCCTGGAGATTAAGAGCTCACCAGTAATGAGAGCATTTTGGATGACAGAGAGAGCCATTAAGGCAGTCCAGGACCCGGGAGCAGCGGGGCCCATCAGGTCAGCCTGGGTGGGGGCTCATCATTCCACCTTCCCAGGGCTTCTGTTCCTCCTCAAGCCGGAAGGGGGCGCTGCAGCTGGAAGTCAGCATTCAAACCAGGAGCCCTGGGCTATGGCAAAAGGCCTGGATTTTTCAGTGGAAAGACTCCTCTGCCATTTGCTGGCTGTGTAACCTTGGACACGTCTCAGGCCCTCTGCCCCATGCTTTGCTTCTCTGGTGAAGATGGGATGAGATAATGGATGTGATGGAGCTTTGTGAACTGCCAGGCAGTGGTTTCACACTCCCTTTAGCCAGAGCCCCTGGCTCACACAGCTATTACAGGGATGCCTCCATACAAATGGGGCACAGGGAGCCTCTCAGGCTGAGCTAGGCCACAGCCCAAGCGACCCGGCCACTGAGGGGACAACAGGGGATATTGCTTAAAACCGCTACTAGAAGGCGTGGTGCACAACCTCCAGTGACCGTGAGCACTCTTAAGACACATTTGCTTTTCTGCCCTGAGGCAAACCCAGAAAAACTGCAAGTCTGGTCACGCTGATGCAGTTGGAGCCTGGAGATGTCCTGCCGGCCCCTTTCCGCAGCCGTGGCCTCCTTTACTCTCTCTCCTCCCCAGCCCACAGGCGGCCTCCTGCCTGCCCTGAGCCCCCACAACAGGCTCCAATCTAGCACAGGCAGAGTCCCTGCCTATCCCTTTTGCTTTGTTAAGAGACTATGGGATGTCTGGTCAACGGTGAATAGTAGCTTTTATGCTTCTTCATGACATTTGATCCCTTGCCCAGAACACAAGCTACTTTAAGAATGCGATTTTTGTGCTTTTATCCAAAGGATTAGCTGTTGGGGGACCTTCTATATGAGCGGAGAGATGGCAATCCTCTCCCCATCTTTACTATATCCCAGCCCGGCAGTGATAATGCCTGCTTTCCATTTCCCGTTCCGCTTAGATGAAGTCCCCAGTGGACTTCACTGCTCTCTCTGCAATGCTCCAGCATGAACTGAAAGGTAAAACTGTAAAAAATAAAGGCAATGATTACCCCTCTACCACCCTCCCCACCACTCCACCCTGGCAGAGTGTGAGTCAGAAAGACAGAAAGCTCAGAGAAAGAGCAGCTGAGTGGTTTAGGCGTGAGCCTTGCATTAGTCTGAGAGGTAATGCAGCAATCTGCAGAGTGGCGCTGCAGAAAGGCGCTCAGGGAAGATGGACGGCAGGGGCAGGGTCTGGGGCCATTTTAGGTCATCACTGTACTGTCAGAGCCTAGTGCAGTGACTGGCACACAACAGCGGATCAATCGATATTTGTCAATAAAGGAACGAATGAATGAACAGATGAATGAATGATCAGACAAATGAATGAACGAATGAATGAATGAATAACTCAACTGTGCCATCTTGTGGAGACAGACACCTGCCATGACCACATCCCTCTCATCCGGCCTGCCCCCAGGGCAGGCATCCCCCCTCCGCCCTGGAGACTGGAGTTCTTCGGTTTTTACAGAATCCCTAGCCAGCAGCTGCACTCCCCCCCAGCTTCCGCTCCCATGGGGAGGCCAGCAGGGGGACAGGAAGCCAGCTTGCTATCTGCCTTGGGTTCTAGCTTAACCTTGAGCCTGGTGTAAAGGGCAAAGTGGCTCCCCAGTCCGCAGGCTCCCACCCGGCCGCCCCTCTGGGGTTCTCAGCTGGCCCAGCCTGCCTTCCCACTAGCCCTTACTTCTGCCAGGGCCTCAGCCTCCAGGGACTTGTGGTCCCCCAGGCTGCTGTGCCTGGTGGAGCCGCATGTTGACCTCATCGAGTGCCCTTCCGAGAGAGCCTTCTTGTCAGGGTAGTTGATGCTGCCAGCACTCCCAAATGTCGCCATCCTCCGCTTCTCAGGGCTCTCGATCCTCCCCCGGGTGAGGGGGATTTTGTGGGGGCTGCTGGGGCAGGCGGCGGCCCGGGGCGGCGTGTCTATGCTGGGGCCCAGGCCCCGGGGTGGGCTGTGGGTGTCGCCCCCGCTTCGGCGCCTGGGGATGGCCGCTCCGTCAGATCGTAACCGCACTCTGCAAAGGAGCCAGGGGGCGGGGGCATGGGGCAGAGGTCAACCCTGGCAAGTCTCAGAACGGATCAGCTAACCCCAGGCCACACACTACACACTAGTCTAAGAGACAGGTATAGTAAAGCCTCATTCAGCCAAACTCAATTGCTCAATGAAAGCACAGGCTGAGCATGTAACTCCATGGCAAGGGGCCGGTTTAATCTGCACAAACGAAGGAATCGGAAGCATTCTGCTTTCCAAACTGCAGACGGTGGTGCTACTAATTACACAATGAATCTTGTCTACATGTCAAGTCAAGGGTAGGAGAATTTCAACCTGGGAACGCTTTAGTGATGGTTAGTTGGGCTCATGATATGTTCTTATGTGGTTCAGGCATTTCCATGATTCTGAAGGGCTTCTTAATTGGTCTGAAGCATTGAGGCTTGACTGTACCAAAAAGTCACCAGCTCCCTGCAAGCACAGGAGGGAGTCCCGGGGAACTGGACACCATCCCATGTTGTCACCCACCCCCAATCTTCTCAGCAAAGGGCTATTTCTATGGGGCTTTTCCAGATCTTGGAAAACTAGTCATCAGGAGTAAAAACTGCATCACTCAACATGCCTTCCATGCATCTGGCCACCTTTCACTCTTTAGGGAGGCTCTGTCAGAGTGAAAAGGGGACTAGAGTATCTATTAGGAGGGATGGCTTTCCTGTGTCCTCTTTCAGACCCATTTCTGGTAAGTGGGTATAATATTCCTTGCCCACTTTCCAGGGAGCTTTGGTGGGTGTGAAAGCACTCTGAAGATAAAAGGCTCCACCCGCAGGTGATTTTGCTACATCCTAGGGAGGTCAAGATTTGAAGGGAGGGGAGGCTGGAAGTGGCAAGGAGGTGGGAAGAAGGGGCAGACTGTTGGAACAGACTGTGACTGAAGGGCTAAGTTCAACGTGGTCAGCAGCACTTCAGATCCAAGAGCCACCAGCCAAGCTAAGCACTGCCTGTGGGTACCCCAACAGGACCAAAGCATAGGTGTTGGAGAGAAGTATGAAATATTGAGAAAGAAAAGAACCAGAATAAAGTACAGGAGGGAGGGAAGAGGGAGAGGAAGAGCAAGGCAGGAGAAGATATGGCCCTCCTAGGATTCAAGGAACCATGGCTTTGTCTTCTATCTACCCCAGACTTCCATTTTGCCCCCAATTCCTTTACCTATCACACTGCCTGAGCCGTTAGCTGAACTGAACAGAATATACTGAAAGGAGGCACGGAAACTTCTGCCAAAGTAAATTCATAAACATATGTTCCTATTGCGACTGTATCTCTGGCTCTATCTCCAAGTACCCATATGTGGAAGCTGATCCCATGACCGCTCCGCCAAAAAAAACGAAGAATATGACATTTTGAGAATCTGATTAAGAAAGCAGCAAGAAACTGTCAACTTCTCTTTTCTTCTTTTTCTTAAATTTTTTTAACGACCACATTCTTTGGACTATACAGGCATGCAGAATGACAAGCACAGCTCCTTGCCTGGCAGGAAGGTCACATGACAGCCCAGCCCACACACCGGGAGGGAAGAAATTGGCAAATGTGCTCCCACCAAATCAGTGGGTGGAGTCGAGTGTCAATTTCCCCCACCACAGGTGTGGGTGTGAGATTTCTGTGTGTAGTGCACTTCAGGGAGTAGTAAGCCTTACATTTTTAAATATAACAACTTAGGTCTTCAACAGAAAATGGGGAGGAGGTATAAGAACTGGAGAGAGGTAGGAAAAATACTTGTCAGTTTATAACTCTCTCTTTCTCCCCATTTATTATTACTATTTTACATAAAAAGCATTGATTTGCCAATATATGTCTTTTTTCCTTCTCCACACCTCAACTCCAAGCTGGACCCTTTTATGCCTGGCATTCTGGGGCCAGTTCCAGCCAGGAGCCCCCCAGCCCCCAGTGTGTCTGATATCACATCCTGCAGGGAACAAGGGGCTACAATAGCCTCCCTCCCTCCCCTCTGCCCCCCTGCCTCTCCCAAATCAGACAGAGCTGGGCATGGCACTAGCAGGAAAAAATGAATCCGCATTTCCTACCGGCCCATCACCCCCCCAAAGCCGTAATCCGAGATGTGCTCCGTGGGCGACTGGAGGTCGTTTTTGGAGGAGGCCTTGTCATCCAGCAGTGGCCCACTGCTGGCCTCGCTGTCAGCCTTCTGGCTCAGGCTGTCGGAGAAGGCATCATCCCTGGGGAGAAGGACAGATGTGAATCGGCAGTGCTTTGCTCCAGAGAGCCCTGGATGTGCAGGGCTCCTGGAGACCTGTCTGAAGGGTGGATCCACACACACCTTATGGTTAACTTATGCCCATCCTCGGGATGAGGCACTTCCCACTCTGCACCTTAGCATCACACACACGCCCACTGGCTCGCTCTCTCCTAAGTTACTGTCTCGGGTGGGAGACCAGCCCCCCCTCTGCCCCAGGCCTACCTTCTCCTCTCCCCTCCTCTAGGTTTTTCTCTCCCGGGCTGCTCCAAGCTAGGACAAGCTAAACGCTGGAGAGAGTGCTGGAGTAATGAGGGGAGGAGCCTAAAAGCTGAGCACTGAGAGCTGAGTCTCCATGCGGGGTCCCGAGAAGCAGTTTAGGGCTAAGCAAGGGAGGAAGAAAAATGCCTCCATCCCTCCCGACCCAGGGTTTTGGATAATTGTGAGGTGGCTGCCAAGGTTCCTCCACTGGCATTTCTCTTGTTGTCTGCCTGGCCTTGGCCTTTTCTCTGGTTTCACACCATCTCCTCTGCCATCAAAGCTTATGCTTTCCCTTGGGAGCCAGTATGGTGGTTGCTTCCTTGATAAATCAGTTCCACCTGAGCCTGACTCAGAAGGAGTGCGTGGCTTTCAAAGAAGAGAAGGTGTAGACTTTCTGGATCTTCGGGTAGGGCTAGGTATTTGGGATGCAGGCCTTTCTTTCTAAAAAAAAAAACAATATTAAAAAAAATAACAGTATCCCGCTAACTGGAAATGAGGGGATGACTGTTTCTGTGCATCCTCTGAGCGAGCCACCTGGGGGATAGAGACTGGTGGGCAGTGAAGGGGACGGTGGGCTGGCCGCTGAGTATAGGGAAGGCCCAGGAGGGTAGAGAAATATGGCCAGATCCACTGGATGCTGAGAACCAGGGCAGGTGATGAATGCCAGGTGGACCAGGATGGTGAGTCAAAGGCACCAAATGCTACCTCTGTGTGCGCTAAAGGATGACCAGTTTGCTTATTTGTTAAGTGGATCACCATTTAAGGGGAAGTTAGATTTAATCCATTCTTACAAAAGACCAAGCGTATCATACCAGTGAGAGCAAATGGTTCGCATATAGCCCAGCACTTCTATTCCTGTGCCCATTCAAGACATCACTAATCGATTATGGCATTCTTCACAGAAGGTCTGGATTCCCACTCACATGTCCTGTACGACTATGTACTGATGTGGGATGAGTCCGTCCACGCCATTGTGACGACCCTCCCACCAATCCTCTGAGGCGCGGTGGTACAGAAGCAGCGAGGCCCCCTTCTTGAAGGACAGCTCACGTGGGGACCGCCCCACGTAGTCAAACTTGGCGATGGCCTCGATCTGCTCCACTTCTAGAAGGAAAGCAAGGGAAAGAACAGCCATGAAGTGAGTAGGATGGCAGCCAGGAGCCTTGCTCAGATGGCCTTGGCTTCTGCAGGGGCAGCACAGACAGCAGGCCGGTGGAAACAGGGTGGGCTGGGGGCTCAGGACACCAGGTTCTAGCTCAGATCTGTTCCCCATGCTGCGGCCTCAGGCAGGCCATCTAACTTCTGACATACCATATCCTTATTTTCCACTACCCCTCTTGTTTTCCACTTTCTAACACTAATTAAAATAATATCTTAAGAAATTTCTCTTTCTTCTACCTCTCGATACAAGTTCCATTTCTATTTGTCCATAAACTCTTTCTCTCTTTGTCTACCTGTAATACTTTTAGTGGTTCTTATCTTTTGGGTGTATGTGGACTCCCATCCATGCAAAGATGCTGTACACAATTTTTAAGGGCTTCCAGAACTCTTCAGAGCTCATTGTAATGGACTGTTATGGTGTCCCCCCACTCCCAAATCCATATGCTTAAGTCCTAACTCCCAATGTGATGGTATTTGGAGACGAGTGTTTAGGAGTAATTGAGGTTAAAGTGAGTAATTAGGGTAGGGCCCTAATCTGACAGGACTGGGGTCCCTCTATGAAGAGGAAGAGATACCAGAGATCTCGCTTTTTCTCTGTGAATGTACACAGAGGAAAGGTCGTGTGAGGACACAGTGAGAAGGCAGCTTTCTACAAGCCAGGAGGAGACGCTTCACCAGAAACCAGCCCTGACAGCACCTTGATCTTGGACTTCTAGCCTCCAGAGCTATGAGGAAATAAATTTCTGTTGTTTAAGCCACCCAGTTCTGTTCTGGCAGCCTGAGCTGAATAACACATTCATCCATGGACCCAATGTGGGGGGAGAGACAATTCTTACTGGGGTCACAACTCAAGCTTATCTCTTTGCACACACACATTTACCAATCAAACCTTTATTCTTCACTGGTTAGTGACAAGCCCTGACTGGATTAAGCAATGAGGCTAGGGCTCTTGCCCCTGAGGCACTCCTACAGCCCAGCTCCATCACCTCAGGCAGGTCACATAACCTTTGTACACCTCAGTTGATTTTGGAGGATTAAAAGATAATGCATGTGGGAAGACATCCAGATGGCCAATACACACATGAAAAAGTGCTCACTATCACTCATCATCAGGGAGATGCAAATCACAACCACCATGAGATAGCACCTCACACCTGTCAGAATGGCTACTATAAAACAACAACAACAAGAAATAACAGGAGTTGGTGAGGATGTAGAGAAAAGGGAGCCCTCTTACACTGTTGGTGGGAATGCAAGCTGGTGCAGCCACTGTGGAAAACAGTATGGAGGTTCATCAAAAAATTAAAAATAGAACTACCTTATGGTTCAATAATTCCACTGCTGGGTATTTCTCCACAGGAAACAAAAACACTAACTTGAAAAGATAGATGGATAAATGGATGAAGAAAATGTATACAGATACAGTGTATACATGGTATATAGATACAGTGGAGTATTATTCAGCCATAAAAATTAAGGAAAATCTTCTATTTGAAGCAACATGGATGGACCTTGAGGGCATTATGCTAAGTGAAATAAGTCAGACAGAGAAAGACAAATACTGTATGATCTTGCTTATACGTGGAATCTAAAAACGAAAAGAAACCAAACTCTCAGATACAGAGAACAGACTGGTGGTTGCTAGAGGCAGGGGGTAAGGAGTGGGCAAAATGGGTAAAGGTGGTCAAAAGGCACAAACTTCCAGTTCTAAAATAAATATGTTCTGGTGATGGAATGTACAGCATGATGACTATAGCTAGTAATACTGCATTGCATTGGAAGTTGCTAAGAGAGTAGATCTTAAAAGTTTTCATCACAAGAAAAGAAAATTTGTAACTATGAATGGTGACTACATGCAAACTTCAGTGTATGGATGTATGTTACCTAGACTCACAGTGGTGATCACTTTGCAATACGAGTATCGAATTGTTATGTTATCCACCTGAAACTAACATTTTATATGTCAATTATATCTCAATTAAAAAAGAAATATACTAGACTTTAATAGATTTTTTAAAAGATTTATTAGAGAGAGAGAGAAGAGAGCATGAGAGGGGAGAGGTCAGAGGGAGAAGCAGACTCCCCGCTGAGCAGGGAGCCCAAGGCAGGACTTGATCCTGGGACTCCAGGATCATGACCTGAGCTGAAAGCAGTTGTTTAACCAATTGAGCCACCCAGGCGCCCTAGACTTTAATAGATTTTTAAAAGCCATAATGTATGAAAGTCCTTAGCATAGTACAGATATACATGAGGTCTTCAGCTGATAGTAGTGCTCATGATTAAGATTATTATTTCTAGTGGTTTTACCCTATGGGGTAGGTCCAGACAAGAAATCTAGGCAGGTCACATAACCTCTGTACACCTCAGTTGATTTTGGAGGATTAAAAGATAATGCATGTGGTTTTATTTATTTTAATTTATGTGGTTTTCCCAAGGCCATATACCTAGTGAGGTTTAGAAAGAGACTTTTTGGGGAGCAGGGATGAGCAATGCCTATGATTTATTTAATCTGTGTTAAGGCTGTACCCTAAGAGATGCCCATACTTGGTAGAAAACTGACTGTGGGGCACCTGGGTGGCTCAGTTGGTTAAGCCACTGCCTTCGGCTCAGGTCATGATCCTGGAGTCCCGGGATCGAGTCCCGCATCAGGCTCCCTGCTCGGCGGGGAGTCTGCTTCTCCCTCTGACCCTCCTCCCTCTCATGTGCTTTCTCTCTCTCATTCTCTCTCTCTCAAATAAATAAATAAAATCTTTAAAAAAAAAAAAAAGAAAACTGACTGTGAATATTAATGTATTTATACTTTAAAGCAAGCACAAAGATGTTCGACACTAGAAAAATACATATATTTATGTATATATTTACATATATAAAAATAATAAATGCATTGAATTCTAATAGAACAAAAGAGTAATGAAAATGACCCCTGCTCTCTCTAGCCTGCAGCTACCTTCCCTATGCTGACACTCTATTGCTCCATTCTTTATGCATTATCTTGTATCTGTCCATCCAGCCATCAAGGAGTTGCTGCCTGGGTGTCTAGGTCCTGCCTTCCGCATCTCCAGAGCCTCCCACAGTCACTGGGGGTGGTCTGGAGTTGGGAGTGGGGGGATGAGGAGGGATGGGAAATGTAAGGGGAAGAAAAGAAGAAAAGAGGAGGAGCAGAGCTGAGCTGCAGGCTGAGAGATGGCACGTGTGATTGCAGACGCTATTACATAAGTGTGTGTGGTAGAAAGAGTAATCGTAGCCACCATTTATTAGGAAGTCTCTTATTTGGGTTTATCATACCTGAAATAGAATATGTGATTCTCCCCCTTATCACTATCCCCCACACCCCTCCCCAAACTTACTTAATTCTTTCGTCTTCCCCATCTTAGGAAATAGAACCGTCTGCCTGCTTGCTCAGGCCAAAGCCTTCCTCTTGAGCATCACACATCTTTGCCATCAGCAAGTCCTCTGAAGTGTCCCTGAATCAGACCCATCTCACCATCTCCACCGCCACTGCCCTGGTCCAGACCGCCGCTGTCCCTCTACCAGGCCTCCCCCTTCCATGTGTGTTTGGTAGAGCCATTTCTCCTCAGGGCAGCCAGAGGGATCTTTTAAAATCATAATCAGATCATGCAACTCTCTTGTTGAAATCCCTCTGAAGGCTTCCCTCTGTGCTTGGGGCCAACCCCAAATGTCTTCTCACAGCTGCTGAGGTCCCTCTGTGCTCAGGGCTTCGCTCCCTACTGCTCTCTCTCTCACTCAGTCCCTCCCTCACGGCCTCACTAGCCTTCTTAATGTTTCTCTTCCAACACTGTATTCTGACATTTTTCAAACACAGAAGTAAAGTTGAAAGTGAACATGCATATACCTGTCACCTAAATTCTACTGTTAACATTTTACTGTATTAGCTTTATCACGTATCTATCCATCCATCCATCTATCCATCTTATTTTTTAGTGAATTTTAAAGTAAGTTGCAGACATCAGTACACTTTACGCCTAAACACTCTGACATAAATATTCATAGAGCCTTCTTGATGTTTTTAAAACATTCCAAACCTTTTCCTGCCACAGGACCTTTGCACTTATTATTGCCTCTCCCTGGGATACTGTTCTCCCAGATGTTTGCATTCATTCACATTCAACAAATATTTATTGACCCTTGTGTGCCATTTCCTAATTTCATTCAGGTCTGTACTCAAATATCTCTGCCTCAGCAAGGCCAAAGGACTTGGCCACCCTTGATTACAAAAGTGCTGTCAAATCACTCTAACATTTTCTCTTGCTTTATTCTTCTTCATAGCACTTAGCACAACCTGAACTTGTGTGTGTGTGTGCATGTGTGTGTGTGCACTTATAGTTTGAAAACTTGTTTATTTTTTATCTTTCTTACTAAAATGTGAGGTCCATTAGGACAGGGATTTTTGTTTTATAATCTACTATTTTCCCCCTTCTAGAACAGTTGCTGGGATGAGTTGGCACTCCATATTATTTGCATGAACAAATTAGGCTTTACTATGTGTTAAGTGTTCTACTTACATTATCACATTTAATCCTCACAACAACACGTGTAGCACTATCTTCATTTTACAGATGAGGAAACTGAGGCTGAGTTGAAATGATGTATCACACATGGATCAGAAGACTTAACACTGTTAAGATGGCAATACTCCCAAATTGATCTACACATTCAGCACAATCCCTATTAGAATGCTAGCTGACTTCTCTGTAGAAATTGACAAGCTGACTCTAAAATTCATATGGAATTGCAAAGAACCCATAATAGCAAAAAAAAAAAAAAATCTTGAAAAAGAAGAACAAAATTAGAGGACTCACACTTCCTGATTTCAAACTTACTACAAAGCAACAGTAATCAAGACAGTGTGGTGCTGGCACAAGGTCAGACATATAGTTCAGTGGAATAGAACTGAAAGTCCAGAAATAACCCCCTACATCTATGGTCAACTGATTTTTTATAAGGGAGCCAAGATCATTCAATGAGGGAAAGAATAATCATTCCAACTAATGATGGTGGGATGACTGGATAGCCACACACAAAGAAGGAAGGGAGTTGGACCCTTACCTCACACCATATACAAAAATTAACTTAAAATGGACTGCCAGACATAAGACCTAAAACTTAAAACTCTGGGAAGAAAATGTAGGGTAAATCTTCATGATTTTGGATTTGCTGAAGGATTCTCAGATATAACACCAAAAACATGAGCAACAACAACAAAAAAATAGATGAACTGGATATCATCAAAATTAGAAAACTTTTGTGCTTCAAAGTACACCATCAAGAAAGTGAAAAGCACACAGAACATGTGTGCAAATCATATATCTGATAAGAAACTTTTATCTAGAATATATAAAGAATGCTTACAACTCAATAATAGAAAAACAGGGGTGCCTGGGGGGCTCAGTCGGTTAAGCGTCTGCCTTCGGCTCAGGTCATGATCCCAGGGTCCTGAAATCGAGCCCCGCATCGGGCTCCCTGCTTGGCAGGAAGCCTGCTTCTCCCTCTCCCACTCCCCCTGCTTGTGTTCCCTCTCTCGCTGTGTCTCTGTCAAATAAATAAATAAAATCTTTAAGAAACAAAAACAAAAACAAAAACGAAGTGACTGTTCCATTTTATATTACCACCAGCAGTATGTGATCTTTCTCAACACTTGTTATTATCTGACTTTTTGATTCTAGCCATCCTAGTGGGTGTGAAGTGGTATCTCACTGAGGTTTTAATTTGAATTTCTCTCATGACTAATGATGCTGAGCATATTTTCATGTGCTTGTCATTTGTATATCTTCCCTGGAGAAATATCTCTTCAGACCCTTTGCCCATTTTAAAATTTGGCTATTTGTTTTTTTACTTTTATTTATCTATTTATTAAATATTTTACTTATTTACTTGAGAAAGAGCAAGAGAGAGAGAGAGAGCACAGAGGGAGAGGGAGAAGCAGACTTCCCGCTGAGCAAGGAGCCCAATGCAGGGGACAGGGACAGGAACAGCCCCTGCTTGTGCACTCTCTCTCTCTATGTACATGTCAGATAAATAAATAAAATCTTTTTAAAAATGTATTAAAGTAAGATGACGGATAGATACACAATAAAATAAATATAACAAAATGTTAACACATGTAGAAATTAGGTGGTGGGTTTATGGGCATGACTGTACAATTTCCATCCACTTTTCTGTGTGCTTGACATTTTTTTCTTAAAGGAAATATCATGAACTGCCGGCCAATAGAAATGTTACCCTGATTGCTGGTAGATGCCTGGAACAATCTGATGAAAACTATGGACTCTTCTCAGAGGTACGCATTCCAACAGAAACAAAATGTTGCTCACAATGGACTTCCTAAAGCCCATTTATGGACCCCTCATGTAGCCAAAGAGTTAATGGCTTAATGGCTTTCCAGATATAGATGATGGGCAAGGAGTGGGAGGCCACTGGGAGAATTTCGGGAAAATATCAGTGAGAGAATGGTGATGCAATTATAATTGGAAACTGACATATTGTAACTACATGATCATGTTTCTGTTACTGATTTTAGTAGTTTCCTGACCTGGCAGCCTAGGTCCTCATTTAGCTTCCAATTAATAAAGCTGCTATTGACAGGCTGCTTCAATGTTTTCACTTGGCATTGTTCTGACAATCAAGGGTTCTTAGCCTAACCATGGTTTCTTTATAAATCTTGGAGACCAAAGAACAAGCACAAGTGAATTTTCCAGATATATACCCACGATGTGCTAACAGACTCCAGGCAGGGCAGCAGGCATCAGCTAGGTACAGAATATGTTGAGAAAGGAAAGGCCAGATAACTACGTTTTTCCTCCAGTTTGGATGGTCACTCACTGGGCGAACCATCTATTACAAAGACATGGTGTCGTGGTTTTCTGGCCAATTGACCTTCGAAGTTTACTGGGCTCCGTTCATAAGGCTATTTTCAAGAAAAACAAAGACACTGATGATCCCCCAAATGAAATGTCTTAGAGGAAAGTAGACAAAGGTATCAGGAGGTTTAGGCTGCCAATAAACAGTGAGATCCGTAAAAATCCCCGGGTTCAGTCTCTTGATCAGAATTAGGGGGTTTCTAGCAGACACAGTGTAATGTTTCCTACCACCTAGTTGTCCCAGACACTGGCTAAGCTCCTTCAGATAGGTCACCTCATTTTAACCTAGGCCACAATTCTCTTGGTGCTGTCATTCTTACTTTACAGATAAGGAAACTGAGGTCTGAAGTTACATGGCTTCCCAAAGATCACAGGGCCATGAAGGTCTCTACCTGTCTTTCAAATCCAGGTCTCCTTTCTCAGAGTCTAGTGTTCCTCAACTGTTCCTGCAACTCAGTATTTCCGTGACTGTTTTGATTGGAGCAGGCGTGTAGGTAAACATTTAGGAAAAGCAATTAATTTTCCTCCGATGAATGCTCCTGACCCCGCAGCCACCACCAACACACAGGAAACAGTGAGGACCTTTAGGGAGCATGGAACTGGCTCTCCTGAAGCCAGCTTGTTGCCCTTCCGGGATGATCTTTCTGTCTTTGTCATGCTCAGAAACCAGCAACCTGACAAGGAACAATCGAGAAAGGACCTTCTGGGGAAGCAGACAAGAAGCTCTGACTTACCCTGTTCTGGGGATACTGTAGGCCTCTACTCCAAGAGGAGGGAGGCAGCATTTTATGAGGGGTTTTCCTTGATGGGATGAAGCCTGCTGGGTGTGCCCTGTGGCTGTTTCCTCATGCGCCCACCAAGAGCTGTTCTCTCTGTCCCTCCTCCTCCTCAGTCCTGGGCCCCACAGCAGCCTTCCAGCCCCCAGGCTGAGGAGCTGTGGGGAAACTCAGCATGTGCAGGATGACCCACAGTGACCTCAGCCCCCAGGCAGGTGGGCTGCGAGGGTCCTCAGAGGGCACCTGACCCACCCTCCTGCAGACACACATCTGCCTCCACCAGCAGCAGTCTTAACAAATCTGAATGCTGAAAAATCAAGCTGTTTTCCCCCAATGGGAGAGGAGAGACTGAGAGCACGATCTAGAGCAAGAAGGAGCTACACACACACACACACACACACACACAGGGAAATAAAGCAAGCAACAGATAGGGCAAGAAGGGAGAAGGAGAAGAGCTGGAAGTAATAGGGCAAGAGACAGAAAAGAAGGAAGAGAAAACCAAATCGCTACAAACAAGCCGAAGGAGGCAGCCTTCACATCCCCGAACAAAGGCTCTGCAGGACATTTTCCTCAGCTCGGGATGACTTGAGCCTCTGAGGATTCTGGCAAAACTGAATGAACATCACTCCTAGATTTGCTCTTCCATACCTGTGACTCAGGCCTGACCCATGGGTTCCCTCTTGGGCCACAGTGATTGGTTCTTGGTGGGATGTGTGAATCCAGGCAGTCCTGAGACTCTATCCCAGGAGCTTTCTTGGAACCATGATGAAAAGGAAGCTCTTTTCCATGGGGACTTTGGACAAAAGAACAGTGAAAGCCCAGAACTGCCAAAGACCACACCACACAGGGATAGCCTACCTGAGTATGAAGCCAACACAGAGGGAAGCAGAACAGAAGATGGAGACAAATTCCTGACAAGATCAACTAAGCTGGATCCAGCCATGCCTGAAGCTATGCCCAACCTGGGATTTTTCAGGTACATGATCTGAGGTCTTTAATGCTTAGGTCACTTTGAGTTGGAATATCTGCCATTAGCAAGTGCAAACCCACCTATCAGTCTTGAAACCAGCTCTTTCACCAGCTCCCAGAAACTACACCTTAGTACTACATACCAGCTCTCCTGACAAAAATGGTGGCCAACAGGGCCTAGGACTGTCCCAGAGGGAAACATAGAAGCCCATAAGAAAACCTCTACATAATGATTTTTTCAAAGTAAAATTATCACAGGGAGAAAGGAGGGCTATGCTTGGTCTATACAGGATTGTGTTATGACTTTCATGGGTCCCTTCCTCCATTAAAAAAAAGTTAAAAATTATATTCTAGGGGCGCCTGGGTGGCTCAGTCATTAAGCATCTGCCTTCGGCTCAGGTCAGGATCCCAGGGTCCTGGGATCGAGCCCCGCATCAGGCTCCCTGCTCCGCGGGAAGCCTGCTTCTCCCTCTCCCACTCCCCCTGCTTGTGTTCCCTCTCTCGCTGTGTCTCTCTCTGTCAAATAAATAAATAAAAATAAATAAAAAATGAAAAATAAAAATTATATTCTACAACTGACTTGATATAAAGATGAATATAATACAGGCTGGATCATATTCCTTTTTCCTCATCATTTTAAAAGAAACTAAAACATTTTCACGGGTCCTTAAAAGGACCCTGGGCCTGGGTACCATGCCCATTCTGTCTAATGGATTCATTGGTGTTGGGCCCATATTATCCAGATTGCTTGTCTACATGGTCCAGGTTCCCTAGAGATGAACCCAACTCTAATCTCCTTGTCTAGAAGGGGTGGAAGGGTCCAATGAGTCCCTCAAAGCCCAGGCCCACCTTCCCTCTGTCCCACCAGGACTTCCCTGGGTCATCACTGCCTGGCTTCATCTTTGGGGCATCCACGCACTGGGGACACAGCTGTAGTTCGGCATTATTTCTGTGGGTCACGGGGAGCTGCTCCTAATGTGTCAGGTAACGTGACTGGGAGCTCCTCAACAGCCCATGTGTCTTTCATCAAAGCACCCCAAGTCCTAGCACAGGCTGGGGGCAGAACAGATCCCTTGTGGGGGCAGAACAGAGGACAAAGAGTGCTTCCTACTTAGCATACTCTTGTTACTCAGGATTTGCACTTGGGCCAGGCAGGACACAGAAAGGGAGGAGACAGGCGGGTAGGAGTGTGGCGAATGGGAGTGCACATGTCTCCAAGATCTTTCTGGGTCCCCCATCTATTCTGGAGGGCAACTTGCAAAGCTGGAGGAGGTTGTGTGGGCCAGCCCAGACGTTGTGCAGGCATGAGTCAGCATGAGAGACTCCAGGTAAGCTCACTGGCCCCAGGTTCCCGCTAACTCACCTTCATCACTGGTGTGAGGCTCCGTGCCATTGTCGTGGTCAACTTCATCGATAGTCCCTGGCTCGCTGTGTGGACTATCACTGCAAGGAAACATGAGAAGGCGACGCATTGGGTTCTGTACCCTCATGCTGTCCTCAGCTTCCCTTAAGTGCCAGCCCCGCCCACCTCTGGGCTTGACTCAGGTCAGGCCCAGGCCAGCACTGTCCTATCTTATCCATCTGACCACCCATGGGCCCTCCTAATCTCCCAGCCCCTTCAATGGGAAGCTATCCTGAATAACCTCCCCCAGCTTCCCCCAGCCCTGGAATTTGCCAGGCTGCCAATTCCTAGGAGTTCCATATGACCCAGAGATCAGTGTAAAACCCTGGCATTTATCCTCGGAAGGACCACGGGCCAAAACAGGAAGGAACTTTGGAAGTGCGGTGAGTCATTCATCTAACCTGGTTCCATGTCTTACAGAGGACGTGACATGCCCAGCAAGGTGGAGTGAAGCTCGCAAGGAGCAGGGTTCTCAGGGCTACCTCAGGATGCTGTGTGCAAAAGCCTGGGCCAGTCCACGTGGCACCAGCAGGCTGGCAGCCATGATGGGCATGGGAGGAGGTAGAGTGAATCCAGACCTGTCAGATTCGTTATTAATACACTCGATAACTTCACCAGCCACTAGCCGCTCTCTAAATGATAAGCTTCTTGAGGCCAGGGTTTATTCACATAGTCGGTTTTCTAACTGAGCCAGTGATGGAGTCCTGATATATGCCAGGCACTATGCTAGGTAGGAGGGACACACTGATGGGTAAGTGGACACATACTCCGCCCTCATGGGCCAGGAAATAAAACTGCTGCAAGTTGAAATGTGCTATGGAGGAACAAATGAGCAGAGACAAGAACAGCAGAGGGGACCTGCACTGGGTGGTCAGGGAAGGCTTCATGGAGGAGGTGACACTTGCAATGGCATTTGAGAAGATACGAATTTCATTATGAAAAATTCTCCACTGCCTCCTGGATAAGGTCCAGACACTGCACAATGGCTTACGACCTTTCATAACCTGGCTCCTGCTGGCCTGTGCAGCCTCCTCCCTCACCATTCCCTTGGCATCTGCAACACTGTGGCCACATAGAACCACTTTCCAACTACTTGCAGGACCAAGTCCAGAACATTCTTTGCCCATTCTTCACCTGGATGACTCTAGTCTATCCTACAGGCCTCCGTTAAGTCATTATTTCCTCCAGGAAGCCCTTCCTGACCTCGCTACATTGGCTCAGGGAGCCCCTTTTCTGGAACTGCCTGTTTCCTCCTCCCCCAGAGCTCCCTGCATCAGGGATGAATCCTGTTCAGGTCACATCCCTGCCCTCCTGCCCAGGGCCTGGCCTGGGACAGACACTCAGCAACAATCTGTCCATTCGTTGAATGAATGAATGAATGAATGAATGTTGTCCATTACAGTGAGACCCTCAGCCAAATCCCCCTTTATGGCTTTGAAAATACCTCCAATATAATTAATAGTTTTCCTTTCTCATTGGATACAAGTGGGACTAAGAAGTGTGGTTATTGTATATTGTTCTCTGGTAAGTACAACAGATCTTGAGGACCTTTCCAGAACACTAATGATATATATTGCAGCAAGAAAAGAGAACCGATAATGGTTGCAAACACTGCATGAAAAGCTTCTCTTTGTCCAGAAAGTAGGCTTGCTGGCTGTTTAATGTTTCTGTGACAAAACAGGGACAGATGTGCTCCTGGTGCCTCAAATAAAGTTACAGAGCTGTGATTACAAGACAGCAGAGCCCGATATTTCTATGGGGGATGGGATGGGAAACAAAGGGGCTGGGGCGCCTGGGTGGCTCAGTTGGTTGGGCGACTGCCTTCGGCTCAGGTCATGATCCTGGAGTCCCGGGATCCAGTCCCGCATCGGGCTCCCTGCTTGGCAGGGAGTCTGCTTCTCCCTCTGACCCTCTCCCCTTCTCATGTGCTTTCTCTCTCATTCTCTCTCTGTCAAATAAATAAATAAAATCTTAAAAACAAAAAACAAAAAACAAAGGGGCTGAAATGTCTCCCTTTTTTGAAGCGATTTAAGAGTCCAGGAATGCTGTGATAATCAAAAGACAAACTCCCCTGTAGGACCTAGCTGAAAGCAGTATGGGGAATACCTAAATATATAGCTATGTGTTGTCCTGGATTGGGAATAAAGAATGAATAGGAACCCTTTGGCTGGTCTCTGTCAGCTGGTGTTCTGAATCCACATTTCAGAACATTTCCTATGTTTACCACATTTTAAGGTCTTAGTCTGGGAAAAGTAGTCAGCCCTGATTTTGATTGGTTCTAACATTTTTCTCCCAAGACTCCATGTAGCACCAGGTACCGAGAGGTGCCCAACTACCAACTGCTGACCTGGCATGGAACTCTCAAAGAACGTGAACTCACTGTGTTTGGAAAAAACTCCTTTCTCAAGAGGTTGATTGAGGTGGGGATTATTATCCACTCCCCTGCTGCCTGAGATGGGTTTGTGACTCACTTGGCCCATGACAGCTTGACATCTCCTAACTAATGTGATTTGTTCACCAGACCCGAGCCTCAGCAAGGGGATATCATTCTTGGATTTGTGTTGGGACACTTGGGAAGAAGAAGCCCTTTTTCCACTGGGGTTGCTGAGAGAATGTGCTCTAAATCTGGAGTTACCAGATGCCTTCCTGAAGCCACCAAGGGAGAGACTGCCTGAGAATGAAGCCAACACAGAAGAAAGAAGAGCCACGGGCTGGGGATTGCAGGACCAAGTCCTGATGATAATAGCTGAACTCCTGGATCCAGCTATACCTGAAGCCATGATGTTAGACTTTTTAGTTAAGTAAAGTAAATCAATTACTTCCCATTTAGCTTAACCAGTTTGATTTGTATTTCTGCCCCTTATAAACCAAGAGAGTCTTGCTGATGCAACTATCTCTCATATAAGGCTGCGGCAAAGCTCAAATGAGGAAATGCATATGGGAGTACAGACTATAAAGCAGTAAGAAAATCGAAGGGTTTCTTACTGTTCCTGTTCAACAGCAACAACGATAGTGATGATGATAGTAACAATATTAAGAAGAACAGAATCTTACCAATATTCTTCCCCTCCAGCCATGCATTTTTCATACACAGGTCCCTCTAGCTCCCGGGGGCTAGGGAAGATGGCTTCATGATGGATGATGATGGTTTTGATGACTTCATTGACGTGTGCCTGGCAGGACACAGGGTCCTGCCCATCAGGGATGTGCATGAGGGTGGGCCCGAAGCAGATGGCCAGGTTGTAGGGATCCATCATGTTCTCGTCGCTATACTGCGAGAGGCTACAAGAAAGGAGGTACTCACAAGTCACCTGGGAAAGGTGAATCTTCCCCGCTGTGGGTTCTTTTTTTTGAGGGCTCTACTCAACTCCAGGAGGGTTCCATGTTCTATTTTAGGAACAGCTGCACCTGCAAAAGCCTCAGGACACCCCCTCCCAAAGGAGGCCAGAGCTGAGGCAAGAAGGGACCCCCCCCCCCCAGTTGGCCGGGCAACTCACTGGTTGAGGAAAGCAAAGAGGTATCTCATGACCACGATGACCACTCGGGGAAGGGTGATGAGGATTTGCTGGATCTGGTGCACCCTCTCAGCTGGGTTCTCCAGTTCTGTAACACAAAGGGGCTTTTCAGGGTGTCTTTCATTCTCAGAGAGCCAGGCAGCCAACATCTGCTCCTAGATCAGGCCACATGGTTCCGGGGGAGCCAGTTCTCTCAGTTCTGGGGATTGATCTGTGACCCTCGTCTGGCCACTTGCAGCAAGTATGTGAGTCAATTCATTCCCTTTTATGGATGAAGCCCATATAGATCGAGTTTCTGTCACCTGATACCTATGAGCCCTGATGAACGCAGGCATGGGCCATGTTCCGTTCACCTCTTTGAACACCAGCTGCACCACAGGCACGGCACGTAGTAGGCTAGAAGTGAGTGTTGAATAGACAACCAACTCTAGAGCTCTGTATCGGCCAATGAGCTTGGCAGATGCCTGGGATCTTGTCTCTGAGCCCGGTTTTCAGGCCCGTCCTAGACAGAGAGACACTGGTATTTTTGTCAGTCGGGCCAGGGGCAGGAGCAGCCAGTTGGGCTTGGTAAGGAGACAGGCTTTGTGGGCTCTGCCTTGTGGAGAGGGAAAGTAGGCACGCAGACTGAGCTGCCAGGGTTCTGATGTGTGTCTGCAGGGCTTATGCCCAAGTCTATGCCAGTTTCTTTCTCAGAAAACATGTTTTCTCACAGAGCCCCTCTCTTCAGCCTCCACATTCTGTCAGCATGTTCCTTCTAAAACACCATTTCTCCTGTTTCTCCTCCGTATCCCAGGCCTTTCACAGCGGGCTTCCGCCAACCTAGCCGGCCTGACCTCCTAGCTGCTGCCCCTCCCCCAAGTATCTGAAGATGATACAGAGTTATGCTTCTCAGATGAGGTGGTAGTGCACCTCTGGGCATTTACAGATCCACAGGGCATTCTTTGGGGTTGTCACAGTGACTAGAGAGTACCATTGGCATTTGGGATCCAGGGGTCAAGATGCCAAGTGTCCTGAATGTATGGGACACACAATAAGACACTGTTCTACCCTAAATGCCAATAGCACCCCCACTGAGGAACTCTGTGCCAGGTGGCCTTAGCCACGATCTCCCTCTCACAGAGGGCCTTCCTGCCCCTGGGTCTTTGCACACACTGGTGATCTCTCTACTCTGTCCAGCACACTCTAGCTTACCTTCAAAGTCTGGCACTGAGGCATCTCACCCAAGTCTCCCCACAGAGCTAAAGGTTCTTGGACATTTACTGATTCCATTGCCCTTTATATAGGTCACTCCCTGTCCTCAGCTTCAGTCATCAGTGCCCTAGTACCCCTGCACTTCAGTACATCATTTTCTTAAATGCATTTATTTAAAGAGGAAATTTTACCTCACTCTGTAAATGAGAAGCCAGGACCACTTGCTATAATTAAGAGGTAACATAAAAATAGATATAATGAAAGCAAAACAATATCACTAAATTCTAGGTAGGCACTGTTCTATACAAAAGTTTCTGAGACTGAGGCCCCATCTCTATGTTTAGAAGGGAGACTGACTGACCTCTGAAATTTTCTCCTTGATATAATCACAGGGTTTGGGAGGGAAGTGAGAAGGGATCTTCCCCACCCCCTCCCCAGTGTGATTCAAAGTGTGATCCAAGGTATGCAATGTTATGGGCTTGTACCAGCGGTCAACAGCCTTGGCCACTTAGGGCTCTGCTCAGGAACTAGACTAATGGGACTGAACATGTGACACTAGCTGAAAACATGACACGAGGGGCTCAGATAGGGTTGGGCCTTTGTAGCCTGGAATTTCTGAGGGTCATGTGGAGCCTGAAGTGGATCTGGAAAGATGAGCAGGAAGTAGTGTGGAGCGGAGCAGAGCAGAGAAAGGGTCTTTTGTACAAGGCAGGCAAGAGGCTTGAAGCCTCCCACCTGCTGGAGCACTTCCCAGCTGCAAATCCCTCTCAGAGCATTGTGAGAAGCTTTCATTTCTGTTTTGAAAGCAAAAATGCTTTCATTTTTGTTTTGCTCCTAGTACTACTGGGCGTGGGGCAATTTTCTGTAAATCAGAGTTTATTCTAAAATACTAAGATTCTCATACTGTAATATTAATAGTTTATTTTTTAAAATTCCCAAAATGTTGCCTTGGATCTGGGCATCTTACAGTCAAGGTGCTTTTACTTCAGCCCCCTAGACTGGGCTTCTGCCTTCATCCACAGAAATACCTGCCAAGGAGAATTCTGATGGCTCGTGACATCAGAAGAAGCCCACAGTCAACTTATTTTCACCATTTTACTTGTCTGTTATGTTGCTGACCTGACTCCCAAACCCTCTATGGCTCCCTATTACCCAAGGGGAAAAGCTCTAAAATCCTTGCAAGGTCTTTCCCCTCTTGCTCTATTTTACCCTTCTAGCCTCTTGCACCATTCACTGCCTGGAATACCCTCCTACTGGTCCCATTAGTCTGCGTGTCCCCATACTCTTCCAGGATACTCCGTGTCCACTCCTCCTGGAAGGCTCAGCTCACATCACTCTCTCTCAGCTGTGATCTGCAAAACCAAGTTTCCCTCTGCCTCTTCTGAGCTCCTTCCATACCCAGGGTTGTACCATGTCATTTTCCATTATAAACTGTCTTGTTATCTCTACAACTAGGTTTTAAGTTCTATGAGAACGAGGGCCATACTGCTCTTTTCATACTCTCCCTCCCATGTGCCTAGCACAGAGATGAGCCCATAGTACAACTTTAATAAAGGTATGTCACACAATTGATCACTCTACCATTCCACCTAGGAAATACTTACTAATAGTAGATATCAAATCTTGAAACCTTTCCTTAGGAAAGAGTGGGTTTTCCAGTCCTCGGAAATACAGTTTTAAAACACCAGCGACTGAATTGATATCTCGTTCATTTTGATCATCCACAAGGGGGTCTTCACCTGAGAGGAAACAGGAGATAATAATTCAGCTTGGTAAGGAGGCAGGAAATGTGCAGATGGCCGGAGGGATGGCCTGAGCTAGAGGAGAAGCAGATGGGACAACCTCCTTGACAGAGCAAGTTTAGAGTTCTCCCTGTAACTGATTTTGAAAATGTTCAAATCTATGGAAATATTGTAAAAATAAAATACTGAAATCACTCTTCATTCACGGTCATTAACTTACACTCCTCTTGCCATATTTGCTTTCTCTCTTTACTCATATTTATTGCTCAATGATTTTAGAGTATTTTATAGATGTCACAAAATATAACTGCTAAATACTTCAACATGTTTCTCCTAAGAATAAGGATATTCTCCTACATAACCACATAACATCATTACACCTAAGAAAATTAACAATAGTTCCAAAACACCATCTCATATACAGCCCACATCCAAACATTCCCAATTGTCCTGTCTTTCACAGAATTTTTTCAAAGGCTAAGATCTAATAAACACAATTCATTTGGTTGTTATGTTTCCTTAGTCTTTTGAATGTAAAGAGGCCCCAACATTTTTTAATCGTTAAGTTTTTTATAATACTGCCTCTTCTGAGGAGTCCAGGCCACCTGCCTTATGGAATGCCTCCCACTCTGGATTTGTCTTTGTTTCCTCATGATTAGATTTAAGTTAAATATTTTTGGCAAGAATAGTACATGGGTGATGTTGTGGACACCTCATTGGATCCAGAGGCATATAACGTCAGCCTGTCTTGCTCCTGGTGATGCAAAGTTTGATCCATGGATTAAGGGGGTGACCTCCAGATCTCTGCATTGTAAAGGTCTATTTTCCGTTTTTGTAATAGTGTAAAATATAAAATATTTTTGAAAAATATAAGTGATCTATGTGCAAGTCATTGTGCTCAACATGTTTCACCCAATGCTTTTAACCTCCAATGATGATTTTAGCCTAAATCAATTATTATCCTAGGGTTGCAAAATGATGATTTTCTAATTCTGTCATTCCTTCTACATTTATTAGCTAGCATTCTTCCATAAAGAAGAGGTTTCCCCATGCCCCCTTACTTCTCCTATTATTATTACTGTTATTATTTAACATCTTTGTGGGATTGTTTTTGTAATTTTTAATTTAATGTGTCATAATCCATTACCATCACTATTCTCTGGAATGCTCAGATTCTCCCCAATTTTGCCAGGGACAAATGTCCTTTATAGGTGACCTCCACTGAGCATATCCTTGCTTTCTGCAACAGAAGATGTTCATGGATCACCTTATACTTTCCTTGACCCAGATCTGGAATCAAACATTTCTCCAAGACGCTCTGTTTGCTTTTTATAGGGGATGGCATTTAGAGACCAAGATCTAAGTTCCAGGTGTGCTCATTGGTACAGGAGTGCTATAAAAAGCTTTTAAACCTTTTCAGTGGATAGAGGGAGAATACATATTTTTTTTTTCATGAGTTCACACAGTTATTTCTAATTCATATTTAAGATTCAACATTTTCTTTACCTTCATTTATTTTATATTTGTATTTCATTTTTCTTAGTGAAAAATCTTGGTTCTGAGTCACATTAATAATGTATTTCTGTATCTGCCTTATCCTACAATATACATAACATAGTTTTGAAATTTTAATAGCAATATCACCACTAACAATAAACCTACTACATAAAATTTAAGATTTCTTTGCAGGGCTTTTGTTTTCATTTGGGGGGGAAGGGGTTAGTCTTCAGAATGTATCCCACTAAAGATGTGTGGTCAGAAGACAGAAAGTACATTAGTGGTTGCCTAGCGTGGGGGGCTGGGGTAGAGAGAGTCTAGGGAGTAACTACAAATGGGTACAAGGTTTCTTTTGGGGATGATGAAAAGTTTCTGAAATTGGATTATGGTGATGATTGCACAACTCTATAAATATACCAGGAAACACTGAATTGTACGATTTAAAAATGGGTGAGCTTTATGGTATCTAACTCATTAAAGCTGCTAAAAATGTATGACCAGAGCACATGTTCAAAAGTTACTCTCTGTGTGATGATCAATTTGATACACAGCTTGTTTCTATTTCTATTCAATTTTAGGGACTTTTTTTTTTAGAAATCCTTTCTTAAAAAATTTGCAGTTTTAAAAATTTAAAGCATTTACATTGTCCAAAAGTCAAAACCAGATAAAAAGTTATATGCAGACAAAGCCCTACTCTTCTCCTTCTCCCTTCCCTACCTTACATTTAACCATTTTCATCAGTTTCTGGTTTGCCCTGTTGTGTTTTCTTCTCCCAAAATAAGCAAATACATATATGAGAATTTTTTATTTCCTTTCATTTTTTACACAAAATGTAAGTAGTATACAATATTGCGACATACACTTGTTTCTTTGCTTCACAATAAATACTAGAAATCCCTCCATATCAGTTCATACAGATCTTTCTCATTTTTCTTCTTCTTTTTTTTTAAGTGGATGCAAAGTACTCTATTTTATGGATGATCATGATTTAGTCAACCAATCTCCTACGGATTGACATGTGACTTCTTTCCAATCTTTAGCTCTTACAAATATTGCCGCAACAAATAATCTCCTGTGTGTGTTTTGGTATTTGTGGAGGTACATCTCTGGTCAAGTCTCAAAGTGGGATTGTGGGTCAAAGGGTACATTTCATTAGACAGAGCCAAATTCTCCCCCACTGGGCCTGCACCATTCTATCCTCCTACTGGCAACATAGGAGAATGCTTTTTTTCCACAGCCCTGCCCATGGAATGCTCTCAATCTTCCTTTTTTTTTTTTTTTGCCCATTGGACAGGGGAAAATGGTATCTCAGGAGAGCAGCATTTTTCAATTTAATCCGGGGCTGCTCAGCTAAGATCCCCCCAAGTTTCCAGTGGACGAGGTGAAAGGAAACAGAGCAATCCAGCCCCTCCCTGAAGGTGCTGACAGATGTCTGCACAATGAGCTTTTCCTCCTGCTCCCAGAATAGCCCACAGAATGTTCTAAGACTGGCAAGCAGTGAAGAGCAGAGCTGGAAATTCATACTTGGATCTCTTTACTCCACCTTCATAGGAAAAGAATGCATGTCACTGCCAGGGCCTCTGCTAGCCCCAACGTGCTTTAGTGCAAATGAGAGAGGGCCCCCCTACTTCCTTCCTAAACCAGGTCTTGTGGCTTACAGAGTATGAACCAGAGTTCAGCTCCCCTCTTTGACTGAGCAGCCCCGCACAGTGCCCAGCCTGAATGACTGTATGTGGTGGCCCAGATGCTGATGTTCCAGAGGTCAACCTCTCAGATATCCCCACAGGGGAACAGGAGGAGTCCTTGTGGGGAAGGAAGAGAGAAAACACAAAAAAATCACTTCCTATACTGATATAGCACTTCTCAAGTGAGAAGCACATTCGCACACATGATCTCCCTTCATCCTCACAAGAACATTGCATGGTGCCGAGGAAGGCAGGGTTCCAACACCACCATTCTCTCACACGCAACAAGCAAAACAACTTGCCCACATTCACATAGTCAAAACACACACCAGCAGCTCCCAGGTCTTGTAATGCCTGGGAGATAGTCTTCCTTTGACCAGTGTCTGTCTGTCGGCTTACATGCCTGTCTCCCTCCCTCCCTCCTTCCCTCCTTCCTTTTCCTTTAGAGTAGAATCCCAACCTTTTCTTTTTTTTTTTTCCAAGAAAAAAGTTTCTCTGAATGCTCAACACATACAACAAAGCTGTCTTAATTGAATTGGGAGGAGAGGTCTATACCTCCCTCCTAAGCCCCCTCTCGGGTCCTGTAGCACCTCTTGAGGCCCCTTTAAGGGACCAGAAAAGTTCAAAAACTCTGGACTATACTTAGCTATTTCCCTATTATTACCACATATGACCTTTGGGGTCTCATGATTCAAAAGCACATGGATTCTTCTTCTTCATAGTACATGTCAGCTCCCCTCATCAAGCACGATCAACATATGGGCTTTATATATACATACATATACTACCTATGTGTACACACACACACCCCATTTGCTCTTGCTCTTCCTCCCAGAAAGCACTCAGTCCATAAAAGGAACCATCCAAATATTCCAAATATTCTCTCCTCCTAGCCCAGGCCTTCGGCTCTCTGCAAGGCCAGTCAATTTTGGCTCCAGAAACGAGCGGAATTTCAGAGCTCAGGATGAGCAGTATGGTTTGTGGGAATGATGGCTTCCTTGAGGAGAATTACAGCTAAAACTCTAGGCTAATCTGAGAGAAAGCTGTGTTCACACTTGGTTGGCTACCGTCCTGGGGGCGGTAGAACTGTTCCCCAGCAGCCCTGCCCACAGCGCCCTCTTAGCCAGGTCACCTGGGCACTGCCGAGGACTTGACGGCAGGGCTGTCCCCAGGGCAGAGTGTGAACACAGTGTGTGCTCACAGGCTCTCAGGAAATCTGCCGCCAGACTGGGTGCATGGCAGGAAGCTTGCGGGTGGCCTCTCACACAAGGGCAGTTAGCTCTCTGTGGCCACAGGTCCTCCCAAGCCCATTCTGTGGCTCCTCAATAGGACAACCCCTCCCAGCGTCTCCCGGTCACACTCCTCTCCCTGGGACAGGATCTAGATCTCTAAAGGGCCAGCACTAGAATGTGTCAGACCCTATATGCCATGACTTCAGCCTCAGATCTAAACCCTATCCTGAGCCTCACCGGGTGAGAGGGCCACAGACTCCCCTTCCAGGCGCCCCTCCACATAAGGAGGCCCCCCTGGCAGCTCTCTCATCGTTGCATACAAAGGGGACAGTGGCTGGGTCTGTGGGGAAAAACAGAGTTTTCCCAGGAAAACTGCCTGAGAGACAACAGAAAAGCAGGGCTCTCTCCATGGCGGGGCTACTGATTTCCTGCCCTCTTGTGGTGTTTCTCCTTCGTTTTGTCAGACTGCAGAAAGAGCTCAAAACTTGGGTGATAAGCTTAAGGCTTACTGACAGGAAAAAAAAAAAAATCGTATCATTAACATCACCACTTCAACTAAAACCCTGGCTGACTCATGTCAGAAGAAAAAGAAAGCGGGTTTAGGAATAATAAGCCAAGAATGAATTTCCTACATGTTGCAATTTCTCAGAACCTTAAAGAAAACAGATCTGTGCTCCTTTCAACAGCCTTATACAAGGAATGTGGGCAAGAACTTTACCCAAGAGAGCAGGAAGGGGGCCAAGGAAGAGAAAGACCCAAATCTCCTTGAACAAATGGCAAACGATAGACACCCTGCAAGGATTGAGGGACTTACATTTTAACAAATAAAAGGAAGAAAGGAAAAATGCACAACGTGCTGGTTTAGAGAGAAAATTCAGTAGTAAGTTAGTGTGTGGGATGGAGTGAGTGAGTGAGAAGAGAAATACTGAGCCTCCCCAGCCTGCAGCAGTTGGGGGGTAGGGGGGTAGAGAAGCTACTAGTTTCACGAGAGGTGGGAGGTGACCCTGAGTAAGGAGCCAAACCTAAGGCAGTTGGTTGGTGAACTTCAAGAAACAGAAAAAGTAAGTGGGAAATCTGGGCACTAGCCAGCCCAGAGAAGCCAGGAATGGATTTTTCTAAAAGAGATACACCAGGAACTTTTTTTTTTTTTTTTTTAAGAATAAGCCACAGTTCACCATAGGCTCAGGAGGAGCAAAAAGACAAGGCTGCCGCAAGAATGAGATTCATTCTGGAATGATGGAGAGAGGGAGAAGAGCCAATTTGCATACTTGAGGCAAAGAAAAAGAAAACATTTTTGCAGCTGAGATTTGGGTCAGGTGATCCCTGCCCAGCAGGGCTCTGCCCGAGGTGATCCAAGGCCAGTTTGGAATAGGCACCCAAGCCAGGGACAGAAGGCACTGACCTTAGAAAATCACATTCGAGAAGGAAAGAAAGCAGTGCTCTTGGGGCAGGGATAGGGCCGGGCTGCCTGGTACAAGAAAGTTACTTACATAGCCTAGGGAAGCAGGGAAATTCAAGGCAGGGGCTGTTGCCAGGCTGGATGCACTGTGCAGTGAGTTTACCCATGAGATTTAAGGAATTCTGTATAATGTGATTAGCCCAAGAAGATGGAACCAGCAAAGATTCCAGACCCTGGTTCTGTTCATTTACAATGAACACAGGGGAGCAGGGGTGCTAAGGAGTTGGGGGAAGTGAAGAAACAAAACTTTGGATTGGGCTGTCCAGTGTTGTCAAGAGAAGCTCAGAGAATGACGAGTGACACTTCCATCAGGGAGGAAGATGGGAGATCCCTCTTGGTCCTGGCCTTTGCACATGTTGTTTCCTTAGTCTGGAATGACCTTTCCCTCCTTTTTCTGGCTCTTACTCTCTAAGCCTCAGCTTGAACATTTCCTCCTCTAGGAAGACTTCTCGGGCTTTACTATTCCTGCCTCCAACCCAAGCTGGGTTAGGGGTTCCCATACCACCCAGGACTTACTCCATTGTCTGCTAAACTGGTTCCCTACTAGACACGACTGTCTTTTGTTCCTGTTGTATTTCTAGGCCCTGGTCCCTTACCTAGTGCAGTGGAGGGCCCAATGAATGCATGCTTGTTGGGAGGCAACAAATATATGAGTAGGAGCTTGCAGCCAGGGAATTCTGGGGCTCTCTGGTTCAAAGTGCCCAAAATCCTGGAGCAGACTCCAAAAGAGAAGCGCCGCAGGACATTAGGAGGCCACTGATCACCACATCCAGTCAAATCCTGCTCTCTAAACCCGGTTCAAAGCCAGAGTGCCATGGGCCACAGAGGTCTGTGCTGGGGGCTGTGGTACTGACTTCCTGGGGCTCACAGAGTGCTTCCTCCACTCTAGAGCTAGACGGCAGATGGAACTGGGGAGGAACGGGGAAGGGGTAAGTGTGCTCAGGAGGCAGCCCCTCCAGAGGAAGCTGGGTAATAAGGAGGGAGAATTCCAGAGCTGGAACCAGGGGGAAGGCCTGTTCAGAGCACAGCCAACAGGGACAAACCAAATACCTTCCAAGACTATTAGGAAGATTGCATAGAAGGAGGGGTAAGAACATGCTCGTAAATTGGGATGTGATCTATTACAGGGAAATGGGTTTGGATTAGGGTCCTCAGACAATATTTGTTTGCCAAATACTACATAAAAAAAAGATAATTAGGATATTCTAAGAGCCACTCAGTGTTACCTGTATTCTTCCAACTTTTCTAAAAAAGCAGCAGCCTTTTTGATTCACATCATAATTTCAAGTGCTTTCCTAGGCCCTCTTTCCCAGCAACTACTGTACAGTCGCTGGACAGAGTTGCCCATGTGTGCTGGTAAATGTTTCACAGCTAACTCTTGCGATGGAAAAAGACAAAGAAAAGATCTTGGCATTTGCCAATTTCTGTGGTGTAAATACTCCTGCCTTCGCTGATTTCAAGCTACCAAGGGGGAAGGCACTGAATGCAGTTGGAAAGATGTCGCTCTGAGCCAGCCCCAGCACATTGCTGGCTCTAAGACACACATCAACACCCATCCTGGCTTTCTATGGACACAAGCTTGAGATGGTGACTCTGCACCTACCTCTCTCAAAGGAATTTTTTATGTCATTGACTTCGACCTGAGATCCTGGTACTCGGAAGATCCCTTGCTGCTGGAGTCCTAAAAGAAACAAACAGAAAATGCCATGATGCCTTGAGCTCATCAGACCTCTGGGGACATTGATGATTCTCCCAATTGTTTGTCTCTTTCTCCCACCACTTTTTACGAGAGTCGTTCCCAATAAAGATCTCCTGGCAGAAGCCCAAAAGTAGCCTTTGCAATGAACTTCAGCTGGCCAAAACACTCTGCACCATCCTGTTTCATATGTCTGTGATCTCTTGTTGGGGGCCATAAATTAAGGTTGATATCCACACAGGACCAGTGGTAGCCAAGGTGCACTTTGCCTACCAAGTTCACCAGGGACACTGGCACCAAGGAGCTTGGCTTGAGTTTACAAATGCCATTTCAGTGTAACAGCCACAGAGATTTTGAACAAGAATGATCAATATCATTCACTCGACCATTTCCACCCCCTACCTATACAGACATCTTCTTTCCAGGAAAGCTCGAGTCTAGCGTGCATGCTGGCCTGGGATCAAGGTGCTTGGGGGACATCAAATTATTATAGAAAAATAATCTTTTTTAAATATGCTTCTATAAGGCCATAACAAGGAGGAGACCCGATAGCTGACGTAACAGTAACAACACAGGATCAGAACCTATAGGGCTGAACAGTAACCTATAGAATCGAAGGAATTAAAGGGCCTCTCTCATCTTGAATGGGAATTCATGGGGTGACTGTGATCTCCCTCATGTTCAGTTTTTCTTTATAAAACAACTCTCCACATTATAATTTAGGAAAGTGTTTACCTCTAAAAGGCAGGCTTTAGCCCAAGTTTGGTTTGTACATAGTATGTGCTCAATAAAAGTGTGTTTATGTCTTTCCTTAACCAATATTGAATCTCTACCACCTGTGTCTTTTATCCCACTGTCCTGGCATATTCCCATTCAGTCATACTTGCTTCCTTCCCATATTAGACCTTCACGCTTACCATGCACGGCTGGCTTCTTCTACTCAAAGATCACCCCCTCAGAGACGTCTCTCCTTACCACCTTAGCCAAAACAGCCCTGCCACCCTCTGGCCATTCTCTATCCCCTTTTAATTAGTTTCTTGGCATTACTGCTACCTAAAATTATATTATTTCTTTATCTGCTTATTTCCTTGCCCTTCTAATCGGTAATGTAAGCTACCAAGGGCTGGCGCCTTACCTGTCTTATTCATGCCTGTATTCCCATTGTCAGAACAGTGCCTGCTATGCACTCTGAAAATAAATTTTTGGAGGAGTGAATGAATGAATAGAGGGAAGCACAAGGGAAGTGTTGGGGACACCATGGTTAGCACATCCCAGACACTGCATTTCCTTTCTGGAGCTGACTAGAGCCAGTTAACTGACCAATTGCTCAGCTACCTTCAGTGCTCAAAACACAGACCTCTGAGGCTGGGTGGAGTCACGGAGGAACCGAGACACTTCTCCTGTCCATGCCTTCCCTGAGCCTCAGTCTTCCTAGTTCCTGGGTCTTCTCACCACCACCTCCGTCCCCAGACATACAAGGCTCAAGAGAGCACTCAGCATGGCAGCTGTGCCAAGAAGCGTTTTCTCGCTAGGAAGCGGGGCAGGGACAGGACAGCTTCCAAGATGAACTGAAATCTCATTTCCTATGAGAACAGCCCAGCACCTGTTCTGGAAAGAGCTGAAAACACTGCCCCAAGATTGAGCTTACCGTATAAATTGATGTACCGGATGCAGCTCTCGACTACAAGCGGTATAGCTTGTCCTGAATCCTTAAGAAAAAAAATCGTGAGTTGTACTGGGCTTGGCAACCACCACAGGGAAAAAGACATTGCAAACACAGGTTATACACTCAAGCCAGAATATTAGTACCATCGGATTAGTAGGAAAATAAGCAAGGAACTGCTAATCCTAAAGTCTCCACAAACAGTTAAAACAAAATCTTCAGTTATGTGCAGAGAAAGGCATAGCCATGATAATTTTAAAGAAATGCTCTGTCTTCTTACTTAGCTGGGAAGAAATCAGGGCTCAAAGGCTTGGCAGGCACACCTGGGAAGGGGAGGGAGCCCGCTGCTCGGAGAGGGCTGGAGTTTGCTCTTGAAGAGTGCTCTGCCTTCCCCTCCACTTTGCCCCACTCAACCCTATCCTCCCAGTGCTCAAGGACAAAAAGGGAGGATCAAAGCCTCCTTCTAGCACTGCAGTACCTGATGCTTGAAATAAGAACACACTATGGGAAGCAAGGATGGCCCCAAGGGTCCTACTGAGCTCTGAGAAAGGAAGGCCAGGTCTAATGAGGTTACAACCTAAACATCCAGGCAGATACTTTATTTGACAATAAACATGTTATAAGGAAAAGTTCCAGAAACAGCTAATGTCAGCCATTGACCACTGAGTGGCCAACCTTAGTCAAAAAGGCTGAATAAGATGCAGTTCTAAACATACGCATGGCAGGGGGTGTGAATGTATTTTCAATTACATCTTCCTAGATGGGCCCACAGCCACAAAGAGCGAGGCAAGGGCTAGTTTTGTCTTGGATTCCATGACTAGTTGATCTATTATTCCGAACACTTAAAGAGCACAAAATCTTTTTTTAAACTTTCATTAAAACGGGCCAAATTAAATTACTAACCTCCTCAGATGAGGGAACAACAAGGCACACGTAATATGTTCTTGTAAAGAGACAGAAAAACCCACGAATTTCGATGCCTTTGTGGTTCCTCCACACCCCACCTGTGAATCCTCTCCTTGGTTAACGATAGTCAGGGAGAGGGGGATAAAATGGACCCTGTGGCAATAGGCAAGGTGGGCCCTGCTCTAGAAGTCAGTACTAAAGACAGGTTCCAATCAGTTGAATGGGGCTAACGGACCTTTCTAGTAAATACCTGGTTCCTGGTTCGAGCATTTCTTCTTCCTCTGATAACAAAAAATAAACAGGCAGCAGAGCAGGAGAAAAAGAAAAGATTACGGAGGAGTAAGATCAGTTAGAGTAAGCAGATCCTTCAGAGTCCGTGAACGCGGAAATGCAATGGCAGCCACCAACGGTCCTGGGGAGACTGCCAACCAGCCTGCCGGTGGGGAGGGCCGCCCCTGCGCCTCTGGGCCTCATAGGAGCTCTGTACCCTGCCCCTGGTCAGCCTGCCGGTGTGCCTGCCTCGGACACCTGGTGGCAAAGGGGCCTCTATCAGTCCTTGTCAAGCACAGGGCCGGTGTGTGCTGAGCCCCTTTCTCGTCCCACGTTTAGCTTCTCCTCAACACAGGGGCTGTTCATTCACCAAAGGGCAAGGGCCCACCTAAGGCACCTTAAGGTTAGCCCAGCTGCCCACAAGGAGGAGGGACATACACCTTCAGGCATCTACTGTAACACTGTCCCTGCAAGTCAATTCAGGAAACCTCATTCTTAGTAAAAAGCTAATTTCACCAAGATTGTGTTTATTAGGTGCCCTCTGCTACAACCTGACAGGATTCCACCTGATTCCAAATTCAAACAGCTTCCCATGCTTTCCTACCAAACACCCTGGGTAGCTTTTCCTGGGTATCCATTGGCTTTGCTCTCCTTCCTGCTCCCCGACCCTCACACTGGTACTGAAATACTGCAGGGAACCCCAAAGCTGAGCAAGGCCTGGGGAAGGGAGGGTGGGGGGTGGTCAAAACACTTTTATGATCTTGCAGGTAGAACTGGAGCCTTTGCTTTCACGAAAGCCACTGTAGTCACCCATTTTCAGGGGAGCCCTGTATGCTCTTTCTTCCATGTCTGCAGCAGGTCAGGGTCTGGGCTGGGAGCTATGTCTCAACCAAGCTCCTTGACAGGACAGTGGAGGAGGTGTGCCTTCTAGCTGGTGTCATCTGTCCGGTCCCCAGCATCTCCACAAGTGGAATTATATGTTGGCTAAACCTACCTGAATCCTAGAACTGAGCAAATAGCCTGTCAGATGGGACTCTACGAGTAATCTCCTAAAAGCTCGTGACCACAGTAATGGCTAGCATTTCCATGGTGCTTACTCTGGGCCAGGAGTGCTCTAGAAACACCGCACAGATTAGCTCATTTGAACTCGTCACACACTCATGAGGTAGGTAATCAATATTCTCATTTTACAGAAACAGGGTGGGGACTCTCCCTCCCAAAATCTATAATAAAATTGAAATGGTCTTCAAAATTTCTAAGAAAAATTGGGTTTCCTTCTGTCTGAGAGGGGAAAAAAAATGAAGGATTTTGAAAAGGGCCAATTCCAACGATCCTAGAAATTGATCAATGTATCTGTCATTCTTAACTTGGGGATGCTGCCTTGTCCCACTACACCCTCATCATCGCGGAGTCCGAGCGATGTCATTTTACTGAAGAACCTTTCACAGGTTTGGCATTTCAAGCTGGGCATTCTCCGTTCGTGCAGAGTTTTCTTCCAGATAGCACGTGAATCATAAGAGAAAATTAAATGCCATTCACAAAAGTTGAAGAGCTGAATATATTATAACCGCCTTTTCATTCTCTGAAAGCTAATTGTCCTTGAGGGCGAGCCCCTGCTGCATGAGAGTTTTTCTCCGCACTGCCCGCTCAGAGCAGGCGCGGAAGAGTTTAACTGCCCTGGGGCGCCTGGGTGGCTCAGTCGGTTAAGCGTCTGCCTTCGGCTCAGGTCATGATCCCAGGGTCCTGGAATCGAGCCCCCCATCGGGCTCCTGGCTCAGCGAGGAGCCTGCTTCTCCCTCTGCCTCTCTCCCTGCTCATGCTTTCTCTCTATCTGTGTCTCAAATGAATAAATAAAATCTTAAAAAAAAAAAAAAAAGAGTTTAACTGCCCTGACAGTATGTGGTATAAGTACAGTGTGACTATAAAGAAATGCAGTTGTGTTGAACAAATATACCTTTTTTTTTTTAGTCAAGTGAGTGTGTTTATTCTTTCCACTAGTCCCCCAAGGACTTATTCCGACCACATGACCCATGCTAAGCGGCTTTTTAGAGCCAGTCAGCCAGCCCCACTGTAGCCTATGCCTCTTGCCATTTTGTACCATCAGAGGTGTTGCAAAGCTGAACTCAAGAACGCTTTTCCTTCCAATGGCCAGGGTGTCCATTCGAATAGGAAGTTTTGGCACCACCGACCGGGGCCATGCCACAGGCTCTAAGGAAGACTGACCAATGGCACCAATGACAATGGATTCAGAGTAAGAATGTGGCTTCCCAAGGTGACTACCTCCTCCAAGGGGCAAACATGCAGTTGAGTTCTGATGTGTTTATCACGAGGAATAAAGTCAGATTGTCTGACAGTCACACATTTTATGTAGGAGCTCTCTATTAAAAAAGACTATTTCATTAAACAGAACACCTAATTCTCAAGTCCTGTCATCTAAGAGTCAGTTCCTTCCAAGTGCCCGGACTGATCATCCGTCTCCAAAGAGCTGAGCAAATTTGGGAAGGTGTGCCTGTCTCAGAGCCTTCATTCATTGTGTTCCTCCTTTCAGGGACTCCTGTCCCGCTCCTCTCCACTTTGCCCCTACCCACCCGCCAGAAGCCTCCTGCGCTCTGGGGCTCATGGCTCTTCGTGTTCTGCGCCCTCACAGCACTTGCTTCCACGTGGTCATTCACAGACTGCTCGTCCTGAATCGCCTATTCTTTCAGTTTTCTGTGCTGAAAACCTCCTGAGCGGCACTATACGCTCCCTGAGGGCAGAGAGAATAGCTCATGTGTCCTTCAGTCCCCTCCTGGCTATGGAGAGTGGCTTTCGTGGGCAAGGGTGAATGAGATGAAGTCTTGGTGGAGACAGGAGGGAAGATAAAGAAAGAAGGACTCTTGACACGGCTGCATTTTCCCATGATCTACTGGATGGTAAACTGCTCACTCAGGGTCCCCTCCAAACAGTACCTCTTTCCTGATGCACCCAGGGGCACCCCTCCTTTTGGGATCCTCCCTGCCTCACTCCTCTGAGGTAGCCTAAAGCAGCCCTTGTTCCCCGCCCCTGGACAGTCCCAACTGGTGCCCAACTGTTCCTCTGTTCCCTTCCCCTATTGTCCCTTCCCCAGAACTACGCCCACCAGCAGAGACAGCTGGGACCCAGGCTGCTGGCCCTGCCTACCCAGTCCCATGCCTGCCCGCCCCCCAAACCCCATCCTGTAAATCCCGTGAACAGTGTGTCAGGACGGAGGACAGAGTACCTGAGCAGGGGCAGCCTCCACTGCTCCAAAATCGCCAGCAAAGCCCAAGAGCATTTACATTTCTCCTGATTGACACCAGTCTTCTTTTCTGCAGAAAGTGTCTTCACTGGATAATGGAGGGCTCTCGAATAACTGGCAGGGACCTTTCCCCCCTGCTCCCCCTAACTCATGTTCCTCAAGCATCTCCCCCACCTGCTGCCCTTTTCAACTCCCTGGCCAGCTTCAGCCGCCTTGAGCCACTCATTCTATCTGGGATGCCTTGATCCTGTGCCCTTTGCCTCCAGGAGGCAAGAAAAAGAGAAACTCGCTGGGCTGAAACACTTTCATTTTTAAATCAGGATGTACAGGGTTCACCTGGAATTCTAAAGGGACTACCTCAAGAAGCAAAACAAGGTGGGAGAGTTTTCTCTTAAAAATTATATGTGTTTTCTTTGTCGGTATATTCTCAACCAAAAAAAAAAAAATTACTTGTGTAAAAACCCACTGTTACCCGCAGGGATTTTCTTTGTGTTGCTTCCAACCAACCACTTCTTGGGAGGCATGGATGCGAAGCGTGGTAAGGTGATTTCTCGAACTGTCCCTGGGGCTAGCTAGGACCGCAGTTCCTGAAGCAAGAGAACATGGCTGGCAGGGACCACGGTGCTGGCATTTCAACCCCACTTGGACTTCATGGGCTTCATCAGGATCTTATCCCTCCCCTGGGGCTGAGGATCACTGGAAAGCACTTAGGATCAACTGGTCAGAGACAAAAGCAGCTCTGCTTTGAAGTACTGACTAAAGGTAAGAGTAGGCTGCGGTGAGGAACGAGGTTGCCTCAGGGCCTGGTTCAGGGCAGGACTGAAAGTTCTGGTTGGTCGGGGCAGGGCTGTGGGCCAAAGGGAGGAGGTAGAGAAAGGCTGCCATTACATTGGGCGCATTCGCGGACTCCGTGGCTCCCCAGCAAGTACCTTAATAAACGCTTCCATACAGCCATTAAATAGTTTATGGCTACACACTGAGAGAGGCCTAGGTCTCCTCATTTTCTGTGGTTTAGGGGGAAGACAGGGGGGCCTAGGGAAAACGGAACAAAAGAAATCAAGAAAGCAACCAATGCAAACATACAACTGGGAAAGACGCTCTTAAAACCCATGACTGAAGGAGAACACAAAATGCAAATGGAAACCCCTGAACCCCCAGCACATTGGTGTCCAATGCTCCATCTGAAGGCCTTTGGATGCTTAAGGGGAATCTTAATTTAATTCCCACAATGTCAGGCAGGAGCAACGCTCGTATTACACAAATGCATTCTAGATCACAGCGGGGAAATAGTATGTATCCAGGAAACCATTGCAACTCCAATCAGAGGCTGTCATCCTGCAAAGCTGACCAGATGGAGGAGGAACCAGGGGAGAGAGATGTAATCTGCAGCCTGAGAAAGCAAGAGACTTTCAGTGATGATTGGAAGGGTTAATTTTCATTACTTTGGCTTAAATTCATAACCAAGTCTCAACTCCCAATGTACCAGGGCACTGATCTTTCTAATGCCTCTTGGCATTTCAAATGCACTTGACTAATCTTTATTGCATTGATCTAAGAGCCAGGCAATTATTATTCTCATTTTAGAGATGAAGATAACTGATGCCTGGAGGGAGGCTACAGCTCTTTCGGGGCCCCCGGGTGACCCAGGGTGATGATTACATCCTGTGCTTTAGTCAAATACAATTTTGATTAAAGCACTTTCAAATCCATTATTAACATCAGTTCAACCCTGTACGGACAGCCCCATTTTACAGAGGCAGAAACTGAGGCCTAAAGAGGGGAACTGGCAGAGCCAGGCCCCAAACTCAGGCCTCATTGGCTCCAACACCAAGATTTTTCCCACCAGGCCAGTGATGGAGTCTTAGGGACTGTTAATTTCCAGCCAAGGACTCATTTCATCCCATTAACCCTTGCCAGCAGAGGACCTGTTGGGTCAGGTTGAAAGTGTCTTGCTTTACTTTAGGATCTCCATTCCCTGTGCTCCACTCTTGGCTCCAGGGAGGGGAAACCATACCACAGTTCACCAGGAACAGTGAAACAGCCACAAACACTGGACCAGTTTCCAGAGTTGCTCACCATGCATATACCTGTGTTGGCTTATTTGCTCATCTTTTGCCACCCAAGTTTGGCCTGACTCAATGCTGCTAGCCTTCCAGGGCAAAGGGCTTTCTGAGGTTAGGAGGAGGGCCCCTAACTGAGAGAGGCAATTCATTTTCAAATGGCTTGGTTCACAATTTGGGGAGCAACAAGGTGGAGACCCAGCCTGGTACAGATAATGTCCACACGTGACTAGCAAAGACCTGGTCTCCCAAGTCTTGACTGATTTCTGTGAATGGGCAAGAAATCGTAAGGATTGTGGAGCCAATCGAGGTGAAAGAGATTCACACTGCCTCTGCTCACTGGCCTTGTTGTGCCTATCCTTGTCAGCAGCCCAGCCATCTAAGGAAATCTCAGGAGCTTCTCCTACATGTTTGAGTATTGAGCAAATGCTGCTGGATCCAGGACATGCATGGGCAAAGACACAGCTGAATCCAAATATCATGCCACCCAAACACTGGAACCAAAATAACAGCACAGACCAAAATTTTAAAAAGAAACAACAGGCAAGACTATTTCGAGCCCATCTTGGATCTATGTCAATTTGGTTAGCTAAGTCCATGTCATTTCTTTTTCATCAGTTACCAATTTTTTGAGGATGTGGGTACGTGGGGGTGGTACTTCTTACAACTGATCTGCTTTTGAGTTTCCAAATGCCAAAAGAGAGTGTAAAAAAAAAAAAAATGTGATGCAAGGCCACGGTTTTAAATCTTGGGATTAGGAATAACTTGAGGATAGCAACTGCACCACCTTGTTCCCCTAGTGTTTGGGGTTTCTATTTGTGAGCATTTTCAAGATGGTTTCCTTATCTCACACTGCATGATACCCTCACAACGACCCTGTGAGGTAGGCAAGACTGATTAAATCCACTTTAAACATAAGGCAAATGAGCCCATGAGAGATTAAGAAACTTTCCAAGAGTCACATAAAATAATATGTGACTGAAGCTGAGAACTGAATTCAGCTCTTCCTCCTCAAGATTCTGGTGTGAGTGGGAAATTGGGAAGTTGATTTTATCACAGAGCACCCAGCAGTTGCTCTGAGTTATCTATTAAACTCCCATGGCCAGCAAAAGTAGAGATTCTTAGTGCAGGGGCTGGACACCCAGCTGGAGAGTTTTTTTAAAATAAGTCTTAAGGAGTTTTTTTTCTTTAAGTTTACAAAATGGAATGAAGGGGGAAAAGGATACTTTCCCCATTTCTTCTGCCCAATCCAGAAGGAAAAGGACTGCTCAAATCACACTGGGATTTCTTTCTTTGTGTGGTGTTCTGGGCACTGACCGGAAATCTCTGACAAGGAAACGTAGCTATCCCAACTTTGCATGACATCAAATCGATTTTGACTTACTCAAGTGCTGGGTGGGACACAAAGTGGGGAGCAGGGGGGCAGCTCAGCCAAGGAAAGTGGGGCAGCCTAAGCCTTCCATCTCTTCTGCTGCTCAGTTGCAGAGCAAAAAGGAAAGAAAGAGAGAGGCAGGGAAAACAGGAACAGAGAAAGCCACGGAGAGGAAGAGAGAGAAACCAGAGACCAATGTCCCCTTTCTGTCTTTCAACCAAGACGAAAATTAACATACATTGATAACATAGGAATTGGCCTCAAAATTATTTTGTGACCAAAAGAATGGTGACTAAAATGTTCCCTAGATAACCCCATAGATGTGGGTGTTAACATCCAAAATGGTGGCAATACTGTAGTTCAGTGGCAGTCAGGCCCTTGGAAGCTGCATGTGGGTATGTGTCAGGTTGCATCTGTTTAGACAAGAACTCTCACATGCTTTCATCGCTAATCCCGACCATAGGGACAAGCCAACCTGGGTTAGGGAAGCCAGTCTGTAGTTAGAATAATCACAATCAAACCTTATGTTTGCATCTCGCTGTCCCATTTATCACGCACTTTCCAAGTGCATTATTGCATCTGGACCATCTAGTTACAGGGTTATGAATTGGGATTATTCTATAATCAGGTTCTTAAATGTGAGAAAAAAAGTACTGCGTTGCAGCCCATATCCAAAAATTGGTCTACACAGGCCAGCAGCAACTTGGCTGAGGGGACCTGCTCAAAGGATCATCCAAAATGACACTAACATTGGGCAGGAAACCATGGAAGATATAGAGAGCCATAGCATAGAAACATCTCACCCAGGGGCCTTTAGGATTAAATTAAAAACCACTCCAAGTTGGCAGCACATTGCACACAAATTTTAAATGATTTTTGGAAGTAAAGGGAAGCGTTTAGTTTACTAACAAAGTTGCCTCTGACCTTGGCCAAGGGCCAGAGTACAGATGGCTGGGTTTGCAGTTTAGTGTAGTATGTCTAAGTGGGAGGTCTGTAGTCGCAGCTTACATTTCCCAGGCCCTAGGTCAAAGAGGGTGTGGAAGACTACATCTCAGATGGCTTTATTTAAAATTAAAAAAAAAAAAAACAACAACAAAACCCTCAACTTTTCTCTGAGTTAGACCCTGGGACCTAGCCAAGGGTTTGATTACAGATCTCTCCTGCAATCTGCTGGAACCATCTTCCTTTGCATGAGTTCTAGGAATTAGGAGGAAGTGAGGGATGGCTCAATTTGTCCCCCATCTGTTTTCCTATTTGCAGACTTTGGTGTAAAATGCGGCTTCTGTTGTTTGGGGACTACGACAACATCCTCTTGCCAGAAAAACTAACTAACTAAATAAATAAGGAGTTTGTTTCTGGAAAGTTCTTAGAAAGTGACCCTGCACATCTGCTGACCCTCTGGGAAGGTCCTCGCCTGGCATTATGAATCATCCTGATATTCCCAAACTGCCACGGCCCAGAGGAACAGCTGCACAGCTAAGCTTCTGGAAAACCCCTTGTCTCCCCCATCCTGGGCCCAGCAAAGTGAAAACCTCAGAGCTTTCTAAGCCCCTTCCCAGCCAACTCTCTTCCAGATGAACAGGAGGGAGTTGAGGGTTCATCTTTCCTCTCGCCAAGTAGAACAGCTTTCCAGGATTCTGGGCCACTAGCTCGATTCGTGTTGGACAGTGGCATAACTATTTGCTGGGAACTTGAAAGGAAAGAGATGGGTTCTAAGGAACAACTCGGGCAGCAACAGGGCTGCTTGGGGATCTAAACACTCTGAAAGTAGAGGAAAGGTCCAGTAGCTGAAAGTCAACCCCTCAGCTACCAGCTGCTGAGTGGAAAGTGTTCACTGGCTCTGGTCTGCTCAGGGAAAAGCGCAAAGGGTAATGTTGAGCAAGCTGGAGAGAAAGCAGAAGTTGCCCATTTGTTACTTTCCCAGCAAGGGATGCCGCCATCAGTCCATCCAAGTGCCCAGGAGGTCTGAAGCCAGGCTGCGGGCAGTAGGGGCATCTGGGCGCGCTTATGTGGCTATGCGCATGCATATGGCCGGATGTGTGCCATACGAGCCAAATCCAAAGCCCTGGCAAATGGGGACTCCAGGCTGGGTCCTCTGCCTGGGCTGGGCAGTTTGCTCAGCAGCCAAAGAACAGACGGGGAGACAGGTCAACAGCTACCCCACAGCCTCTGGCCTCTACTGGTTGTCCTCAGCCACTCTGCAATATATATTACTGTCCCGCCCGATGGATAGCGCCAACAGAACATACCCCACTTTCCCACAGCAGCTGGGAAAGGCACCCTCCCCACCACAGGCCTGTAGGGGGCGCGGCTTCACCAGCACGATGCTAGGACAAGCAGAACAGCCAGCCTTCTCTCTCAGCACAGCCACACCATCCTGGAGACACTTGAGGAAGAGCTATCCTGCTCTAAAAACAGCCCAGCTTCTCTGAGCTCTCAGCAGCATCTGCTTTCCCACCTTCCCGCCTTCCTGCCTCTCCTGCACCCCCCATCCCCACCTCAGGCAGCAGGTGCAAAAAACAAGATCCCCAACTCTTACCTGGTTGTGCCACATTCTGCTCTCTCTCCTGGAAAATAAAGTATACATTGATGTTTAACTGTTTTTTGTTGTTGTTGTTTTAACCAGCAAACATTCATCTTTTTCTAAAAACAAGGAACAACTGAACCTAATTATTTGCGAAATAGGAAACTGAATTATGCCTAAGAAATGGTCTGTTGGAAAGAACCAAGTCTTATTAAATCCCCAGGGCCTCCTATCTGTAAGGCTATGCTCACATAAATTTCATTTTGTATTGTTCATGTATATTTTTTTCAGTGACTTTCAAATCACCACTTGCATCAGAATCTTCTGGGGACCTTATTAAAAATGCAGATTTGGGGGCTTTCCCATGGGCCTTCTGAATCAGAAATCTCTGAGCTAAGACAGGAATCTGCATTTTAATAAGCACCCCAGGTGATCCCTTCTGTGTGTGCCAAAGCTCAAGAACTCATGCACTGCTTTGTATCAAAAAAGGTTGGTTGATGGGGCGCCTGGGTGGCTCAGCCGGTTAACCGTCTGCCTTTGACTCAGGTCATGATCTCTGGGTCTCAGGATCGAGTCCCAAGTGGAGCTCCCTGCTCAGCAGGGAGTCTGCTTCTCCCTCTCCCTCTAGCCCCTCTGCTTATTCTCTCTCACTCTCTCTCTCAAATGAATAAATAAAATCTTAAAAACAAACAAACAAAGAAAGGTTGGTTGAGCACCCATCATAGACTTGGCCCTGAAGAGCAACAGATACAAGATATCTCTTGTTGTTCCTCAACCCAGCCACACCCCCACTCCAACCCTTCCTGCCTTCATTCTCAGCTGAAGACCTTCTTGCTTCCTTCACTGGAGAAGAAAATCAGTAAGACAGGTCTTGGCATGCCTCCCTAAGACACACACACCTACCTGTGCCTGCTCATTCACTCTCTACCTCCTCTCCTCTCCGGTACCCCAGAGAAGCATCTGGACTCTGTCAAGGCCCAGACCTCTGCATGCTCTCAGTCCCAGCCTCTCTGCCCTTCTCGGGTGCTCTGTTTCTGCAAGTACCCCCCACCACCCCAACCATCACCAATCTCCTTTCTTCTGGATCATTCCCATCCGCCTATAAACATGTTCTGGATATGTATAATCTAGCTTTGAAACCTCCCCTGGGCCCCCTTTCTCCCTCTAACTCCATCCCCATTTCTCTCCTTTACAGCAAAGCTTGCTGAAGGAGCTGTCTAGGAAGCCCTCTTGCTTCCCCCCGCTCACCCCACTGAGGCTGGCTTCTGGCCTCACCATCCACAGAGACTGCCAGCTCCATGTGGACGAATCCACTGTCTTCTCTGCTCTTATCTGACTTCTGGGCAACAACTCAGTGAATCGTCCTTCTTCTTACAAAGCTTTCTCCTTGATTTTCATGACTCCACACTTGACAAGTGTCCCTCCTGCCCTACAGGCTGTTCCTCTGTTTCTCTTGCTGTCTCTTCATCTGCCCAACCTCTAACCTCTAAATGATGGGATGCCCCCAGGAGGTGTACCCAGATCTCTTTCTACACACCTTATCTGCCTGACCATGACCAAAGTGCTTACCAAGGACTCCCTACTCTTATCTCCAGATCTTCCATTTCCCTGGAATTCCAGACTCCTAGTCACTGCCTTCTTTTTTATTTTTAACAGCTTTGTTGAAGTATAATTTACAGAGCATAAAATTCACCCATTTGAAATGTATGGTTCAATTATTTAGTAAATAGTCAAGTTGTGCAACCATCACTGCAATTCAATTTTAGAACATTTCCTTCACACGAAAAAGAGCCCTTGTGCCAATTCACAGTGACCTCCCCCCTTCCATCTCCAGCCTACGGCAACTGCTCATCTATTCTCTGTGTCTAAGGATTTGCTTATTCTGGACATTTCATAAAAATGGAATCATGCTATCTTGTGCATTTGGCTTCTTTCACTTAGCATACGCTTTTGGGGTTCACCCACACAGCACGATTCAGTACTTCATTCCTGTTATGGTGCAGCAGAGAACGTCTAGGCCAGGGTTGTCCAATAGAAATGTAATGGAAGCCACAATTTCTAGCAGCCGTGTTACAAAAAGTGAAGAGAAATAAGTGAGATTAATTTTAATAACATATTGTGTTTAACTTAATACATGAAAAATATAATTTCAAAGTATATCAATATAAAAATTCATAAAATATTATATGTATATTTTTTCTATTAACTCAGAAATCAAAAATTTTCTACCCTTTACCTTCTGAGACCTGTTGGGATTTTTAAAAATATATTGTATAGTCAGTGGTTCAGTCATTTTCAGAAGGTCAGACTGTCTGGTCCTTGTGGGACACTGGCTCTGTAATGTGCTATTAAATCTTGGGCTGAAAAGGTTATGTCCCATCCCTTTTATAGACAATGCACTATTCATTCTTGAGGGGCTACAGTAAATTGAAAAGCCACCCGTATCTTGGGTATAAACCCTGGAGCTTACAGACTACTCGGAGCAGTAAAAAGGTCAGAGATCTAAAACTCAGAAACGATGATAAACTAAGAATCCTCTGGCCAATAAAACAGCATAGCAACAGCCAAGGGCATATACGGGTGTGTTCTTGTTCCCAAGACGTGCCAGTGACATTTACAACAAGGAATGCCAATTTGCAGGACACCTAGAAGGATTTTGACTTGTGTGTGTGGGATCAATCATGTTAAAAAAAATTTGCTTCTAAGTGAGTGCTTCTGTTTCCTCTAACTTGTGGCTTTGAGCTATGCTGTCAAAAGAGTACTTGAGAGAAATGGATTACATGATACACTTCATTAAAAAAACAACAACCTTGTATCTTCTCAATCAAAATATTCTGCTTGGCCCCATATTTCTCACCTGTTTCCAAAATTTTCAGAGTGTCCCTCCCAATACAAAATAGCCCTCTGAGGACATAAAAAGGCCACTGATGCAGGTGTAACCTTACCCCAGCCCACTCTTGGAAGAGCTTTCTACTGGATGGAAGAGTTAGTATGTGCAGGTAGAGGTGAATCATCCGCTGACACTCCAAAGGACGAAGGAGCTGAGATTTTGAGCCTGCTCTGGCCTGTGCAATTTTTTCATGCCCCCGTTGCCCAGTGGGCAAGAACTTGACCCATCTAAGTCAGTGCACGTCTTCCCCTTTCACCCAGTGCCCTAAGAATCCACATGTACCTGTATCAGGCAGCAGGGATACAAAAGCGACTCAAGATTTGGTCTCAGCTGCCATTCTTTTAGTAATTTGGTAATTCATTAACTTTAGAGATAACAATGTACCAGTGTTCATTACTTATGACAAATACACCATACTCACTGATGTCAATAACAGGAAATACTGGATGTGGAGTGTATGGGGACTAACTGTACTATCTTGCAACCTTTCCATGAATCTAACACTATTCTAAAACAAAGTCTATTCTATTTTATGTATTTATTTTTAAAGATTTTGTTTGTTTGTTTGTTTATGAGCGAGTGAGAAAGAGAGAGTGCGGGGGAAGGAGCAGAGGGCGGGGGAGAGACAGAATCCCAAGCAGACTCCACTTTGAGCGTGGATCCCGACGCTGGACTCCATCTCACAATCCTGAGATCATGTCCTGAGCTGAAACCAAGAGTCAGATGCTCAACCGACTACGCTACACAGGCATCCCTAAAACAAAGTCTATTTTTTTTTTTAAATGCAAAACCTCTCCAGAATTGACCAGTCTAACAAGGCCCATCCCAGTTTTCAAAAGAAGCACAGTGGGGCTTTTCTACAGCTGGGTTATTAGGGAACAGGACTCTGGAGATTCTTTTCAATGGCTCTTTCTTAGCGACGCTTATACTTCAGAAGCTGCATTTTCCTGCAGTTTTTCATTGCTATTCAGCCTAAAACTCAGAAGGAGTACTGGTAAATCACATCTCAAAGCAAGGTGTAGCTTGGGATCATGACCTGAGCCAAAGGCAGACGCTTAACCGACTGAGCCACCCAGGCACCCTGGGATCTTATTTTTAAAAAGAAAATCTGGTTTTCTAAATCCAGGGCACCTGATTTTGAAAATACAAGTAGCCACCAACGCACATGGACCTGCCTTTTGGTGCATGGCTCTGAGAAACAGGCCCCGGGGGGCCATAAAACAAATCCTCCTCTTCAATGCTAGTTGTGGGAACTGCCCCTGTCCCCATCTGAGCTCCTCTCTAGGACTTTCTGCCTCTTCCCTTTCCCTCCATTCTCGTTGCTTTGGTGCCCTCTTCGCTGCCCTACTCCTCTGCAGTCCCACTCACCTGGCCCAATGTGGCAATGTCAGGGATGGGCAAAATGAAGTGGGGTGTCAGGGAAAATGAAGAAAGAGCTCATTGCAACTCACTCCTCCCCACCCTCACCCCCAGTCAATGAGTTTTGACAAATGTATATACCCGTGTCCAACCAGCACCCAAATTAGGATACAGGACATTTCCATCACTCCCAGAAATTCCCCAGCTAGAAGTCACAAAACTGATCTCTGCTAATAGAAGGCAGATCAGTGGTTGCTTGGGGCAGAGGAGGAAGAATTAACTGCAAAGAGATACAGAGGAGCTTTTGGGGTGACAGAAATGTTCTAAATCGTGATCTGGGTGTATGTTTTTTAAAACTGATCTCTACGCAAAATAGGTAGATTTTATTGCATGGAAGTTACATGTCAATAAAGCCGATTGAAAAAATTCTACTGATATTAGTTTTAAAACCCTGGTTTTTCCTCCAAGCCCTAGTTATTCATCTTTCTTGAAGCCTTTCTGGCTCTTCTGGGCCCATGGTGACCCCTTCCTCTCCTGGCTCAGACCCTCAGAGTCTATCCTGTTCATCTGGCAATTCAACCAGTGTTTCTGTGTGACTTAATGTTACTGCTTTTGATTTTTTATGAATTTGTGAACTGTCTCCTCACTAGATTATAAGAGCCTTGGGGCTGGGAAATGGTTTAATTTCTCACTGTTTCCTCTAAAGCATGGGGCTCACAAATGCCAGGCATCTGCAGATTCCAGCTACCCATTTGACTGGTGCTGACTGTACTGCATCAGGGAACACCTGGGTGGCCAGGGCACAGCCACTAGAATGTGCACCCCTCTGGAGAAGAGAGTGATCCAGTGCGGGGCAAGGACACGTTGTGGGTGGCAAACCCCCAACGGCCAATGAGCGCCAGCCCCATGCCCCACTCTGACTCTCATCTGTCATGCTCCTCCTTCCCTGAAAAACTCAGGTGATCTCTAGGCCTGCTTCAAGCTGTCATATTGGGATCTCCTGGCATCATCACCTTGGAAATTCCCTTCATCTCTCCCATGCTGGTCTCCTATTTCCTGGACCCCATGCCTTTTTTCCTTTAGGTAGAATACATCGTTCAGCCAATGGCCCTTGCCAACAGAATACAAGAATATATCTGGATGTGGGGCTCCAAGCAGCATCTAGCACCTTCAGAAACCCTAGGTCAGCTCCTCCCCTCAGAGAGGAGCCACACATCAGTTTCCAGGGCTACCAGGATTTGCTGCAAACCATCCCTGACCTTGGGGCCTAGTTATGTCCTAATGACTTTTCCATGCAACATTCATTTAGTGACCATTAACTGAGTGCGTTCTGTGACTAGGTACTCTTCTGGGCACTGGAGATAAAGGGGTGGACTAAATAAATAAGGAAGTCCCTACTCCAATTGAAGATATGATACTGTTGGGGTGGGGGTGTGACCAAAGATAATAAGCAAATGAACAAATAATAAATAGGATAGTGATGAGTGAGATGAAGAAAATCAGAGAGAGTGTTGGGACAGAGGTGGTGATTTCTTGAGGTTGGGTGACAAGGAGAGTCTCCACTAAGGAAGTGACATCTGAAGGATAAGGAGCCACCCATACTGAGATCTGGGGTAAGGGCATTCCAGGCAAAGAGAACAGCAGATGCAAAGGCCCTGGGGCAGGAATAAGCTCAGTGAGTTTTGAAGGGCAGAAAGGAGCTTAGTGGGGCTGGAGCACAGTAAAGGAGTACAGAATGATAAATGAGCTCAGGGAAACAGGCAGAGGGCAAACAATGTGAGGCCTCACGTACCGTGAGAGCACTGGGATTTTATTCCAACTGGCACTGGAAGACTTTCTGTAGTTTTAAGCCTACTCCCCACATCCCTCAAGGACCAAACTTTGCCTTCCATATATGGAGTTTTCTTTTTTGGACCAAGCCTCCTGGCCAGGCACTCCACTAGTATTCCTGGCAAATAGCATCTGCTGACAAGCATCCATGCGGACCTCTGTGCTCCTGGATTCCCACTCCCTTCCTACTGGGGACCCCTTTCATCACTTTGCCTTGGACCCTCCCCCAGAACCTAAACTAACACTTCTGGTTTCCCCGTGTTTTCTGCAGCCAGACTAGACCCCTATCGGCATCTGTACCAGCCTGCCCCATCCTGCCCGCTGGCTCTGGCACCAGGCCTCATTCTACCAAGAGCCCCAAGTGCAACAGCTCAAGGGGCCACAACAAAACAGGCACTCCTCACAGGCCTCTGCCCCCCAACCAACTCACCTTCACCCAGGGTCTGCTTGAGCAAGTCATGCTTGGCCTGTAGCTTAGTGATGAGGTTACTGCCGTTCACATATTCTTTAAATTTCTGTAAGACACAAGGCACATGGGCATTACAGACTGCAGGGCCAAGTCACAAGGTCTCCACCCCTGGAACCAACCTCTGGGCACCAGGGAGGTCGAAGGGAGATGGCACCGCCCTCCAGGACCCCAGCATGGGGAAAAGAGGGGCCTCTGACTTGCCCCTCTGCTCTTCTCCATCAGACCCCAGCTCTACCGAACAAGCTGTCCCGGCCTACGCATTTCAGGCCAGTTTGGGGAACACAAAGAAAGCTCGGGGGCAATGTGAGTAATGAAAGGCGCTTTGTCAGGTGAGGACTGCAGCGGGGAGGGGGTGGGCTAGCAGACAGCTTCTTTAGTCCTCAGGCTCTGCTGTGCTTCTGGGCCACGAGCAATAAAAATAGGAACCGTCTCTGGAAGCACTCAGCTGAGGCGAGAGCACTTTATCAGATCCATCACAGAGGAACCTCCTAAAGAGCCTTTCTCTCATCTGGCCCCACTCGGAAGGAGGAGGGGCTTTGCAGGCCCCTAAAGACATTCCTGTTAAAATAACGTGAACTGCATTGGGGGACAAAATTTCCTTCTTTTTACAGAGGAGACAGGTGAGGCTGGTACAGGGAACTGATTTGCCCAGGGTCCCTGGGGCCCCCAGGCTGCCTCTCCTTCAGGGGTCTTGTCAAGCACAATGCACGTCAGAGCAGAACAGACGGACAGGGGCCACCAGAACAGAAACACATCTACCTGTGCCCAAATCCAGTTGGGCCTCGGCCACCCCTCTCCCTACACAAGTACTGGCTTTCCTTGGCCCACCCTGTATCACCCAAACCCAGGCCCAGAAACCCCTCTGCTGGGGTGTGTCTTTGCCAGACTGTGAGCCACTGTTGGCGGGGTCTACACCCAGTTGGTTTTCGGCCCCCCAGTGCCTACCGCTGTGCCTGGCATAGAGCCAGTGCTGAGAAACTTCGTGGGGGTTGACACAGAAGAGAGGGAAGAGACAACAAGCTAATAAAGAAAGTAAAATACACAATTGGTCAGCTGCTGGTGAATGCTGTGGATAAAAATTAGGCAGGGATGGGGCAGACCTCACGGCAGAGTTGCCCTGTGAACCCAAGCCGGAAGGAGGGGAGGGAGGGGCCGTGTGGGGACACACCAGCACATGGGGGATGGAGCTTTCTCAGCAGACGGAACGGCAATTGCAAATGCCCTGAAAATGAAGGCATAGGGTGGTATGATTGCCCCAGAGCTGCCAGCTAGTTTCTCACAAAGAAATCCATTTTATCCCCAGCCAGAAGGCTCAGAAAGGGGTGCAGAGGAGCAAACAAGTGAACCACAGCGGCTTGGGACCACCTCAATACAACCTGTAAAGGAGCATCTGGAAGGCAGTTGTAGGGTAAAGGCCCATGGGGTGGGGGCTGACATGTGCTCAGATAAGACAGGGGTCACCCCACCCTGGCCCCAACTTGGCAGGTTTCTGGAACAGTGGGGCTGGCAGGAGATGGTGGTGTCCTCTCTCCTCAGCCAGAGTCCCTAATTCCTAGGACCTTGTCTTCTGGTTACTAAGATCCACTCCCCCTTGTACCTGTAGAGCACTCAGCAGTTTTCAGGCTTGTACCTTTGGTCTGCATCACAAACCTGGATAGCAAAGGTGGGGGGCATCATCATTACCATTCTAGCCAGAAGGAGACAGAAGCTCAGAGCTGTGGCCACTTAGTGTGGCACCTTGAGCAGAGGACCCCCTGCCTCCTGACAGCAGCATTTCTCCAAGTGTGATGCAGGCCAGTGGCTTCCTCCCCGGCTGGCTAGCAGATTCCTGCTCAAGAAGACTGTGAGTCGAACCCTTAATTTTACACCTGAAGAAGACACCATGGAGGCTAGACGTGTTCAAATTTCCAGGGCCTACCTCGGGGCAGGTGGTATATTGGGAACCTACATTTTAACAAGCTTCCTACATGATTCGAATGCATACTTCAGTGTGATAACTGCTCTCCCTCCCCCAGGCTCTTTTAGATGCTTCCAGTATTGACACCCTCTACTCTTATCCCATGTTTAAAAATTCATCACAAGAAGCAGAGCTGAGTTTTGAGCAGGTATTTTCTCCATCATGCCCTGCTGCCCCTGGCAGTTGAAGCTCGAATCCCAAACACAGAATGCACACCTTGGTGGGTTATTCACTGGTTAGTGGAAACTATACCCCAGGGCTCTGGGGCCCATGAACTCTGCCTACTTTTTCCAAGCTTCATCTGGGCTTGAGATGTGACTCATGATGGAAAGAATGCCATCAGATTGTACTGATGTTTGCATTAAAAGGAGTATTATGTCCTCAAAAATGCCTAAGATAATGTCACAACATCAGGTCATGAAGTGTACTCACCAACCAGGTTAATAGAGTAAATATTAAAATTAAAATATAACATCCATGACCCTTAATCATGAACATCGGTGAATTCTGTCTTTTAAGTTCAAGCATGCAGACCCCATTCTCTGCTTCTACCACCCAGATTTCTTTGTTTCTGCTGCCAAAGGGAATTAATATTCATACACACTCTTTACTTAATCTTTGTAACCCATAAAATTCTCTTTGTACACACAGTAGGTCCTCAGTGGAAGTGCTGAAGCCCAGAAACTGGCATGGGCTGACTCACTAAGACCAGCTTCATTTTCTTTCTTGAAAACAACAAAGTCAAACAGTGATGCTTGAGGAAATGCTATCCATGTTTTTTTGTTTTTTGTTTTTTGTTTTGGCTGGGTACAGTATACTTTATTGATGGTATATGACAAGGTAGGGGTCCCCAAGCCCCTCCCCTTCTTCAGGGGGCCTGGGATGGAAATGGAGGAGGTTGAGAGATTCTCAGTGTTTTGAGGGATAAGTTGGGGCAGGGACTCCCCAGCAGCTGAGGGCCTCTCTCTTCCTTTTGCTCTCGCTGGGGCTGGTCGTCCAGGGGGCTCTTACTCCTTGGAGGTCATGTGGACCATAAGGTCCACCACCCAGTTGCTGTAGCCGAATTCATTGTCATACCAGGAAATGAGATTGACAAAGCGGTCGTTGAGAGCAATGCCAGCCCCGGCATCGAAGGTGGAGGAGTGGGTGTTGTTGTTAAAGTCGCAGGAGACAACCTCATCCTCAGTGTACCCCAGGATGCCCTTGAGGGGGCCCTATGACGCCTGCTTCACCACCTTCTTGATGTCGTCGTATTTGGCAGCTTTCTCCAGGCGGCAGGTCAGATCCATGATGGACACTTTGGGGGTGGGGACACAGAAGGCCATGCCAGTGAGCTTCCCATTCAGCTCAGGGATGACCTTGCCCACAGCCTTGGCAGCGCCAGTGGAAGCAGGGATGATGTTCTGGGCAGCCCCTCAGCCGTTGCGCCACAGCTTCCCAGAGGGGCCATCCACGGTCTTCTGGGTGGCAGTGATGGCGTGGACGGTGGTCATGAGTCCCTCCACGATGCTGAAGTTGTCATGGATGACCTTGGCCAGAGAGGCCAAGCAGTTGGTGGTGCAGGAGGCATTGCTGACAATCTTGAGAGTGTTGTCATACTTCTCATGGTTCACACCCATCACGAACATGGGGGCATCGGCAGAGGGAGCAGAGATGATGACCCTCTTGGCCCCTCCCTTCAAGTGAGCCCCAGCTTTCTCCATGGTGGTGAAGACCCCAGTGGACTCCACAACATACTCAGCACCAGCATCACCCCATTTGATGTTGGCAGGATCTCGCTCCTGGAAGATGGAGATGGACTTTCCATTGATGACAAGCTTCCCGTTCTCAGCCTTGACTGTGCCGTGGAATTTGCCATGGGTGGAATCATACTGGAACATGTAGACCATGTAGTTGAGGCCAATGAAGGGGTCACTGATGGCGACAATATCCACTTTGCCAGAGTTAAAAGCAGCCCTGGTGACCAGGTGCCCAATACGGCCAAATTCGTTCACTGTGACCTTCACCATCGTGTCTCGGGGATGTGGCTGGCACTGCACCAGAAGATGCAGCTATCTGTCGAAGGGGGAGGAGCAGAGAGCCGCTATCCATGTTTTTAACAAGGGATTCAACAAGGCCTATCACAAGGTGGAGCTGGGTGTCAGAACTGGGTGGGTTTGTGACTATTTGAATGACCACAAGCTAAAAGTGCTGATTAGTGGATCAACATCAGCCATGGCATGTTTTAAACAACTCCGTCTTTGGCCTGGGCCCCAGCATACCCCCTGGTTTTTTTATTTGACAAACTTTAAGGTGTGAAAGCCATACTCACTGACTCTGCAGACAACACAAGGTCTGAAGACACAGCACATATGTTGAACAACCGGAACAAGATCTTGACAGTATGGAGCCATGAACTAAATCCATCAAGAGGGGATCTAATTGGTACCAACCCAAGACATCACCTTTAGGAGGAAGGTAGCCTGGTTTAATGACAGTACGTAGGGAATAGAGACTTAACTGATATTGACTTTAAAAATATATATATATTAAACATATGTATATTTATATATCTATATAATCTTAGTTATAATAGAGTATTATGAAAAATTACATGCCAACAAAATGAACAAGCTAGAATAGATAAATTCCTAGACATATATAACCTCCCAAAACTGAATCAGAAAGAAATAGAAAATTTAACAGACTGATCACCAGCAATGAAATTGAATCAGTCAAAAAACTCCCAACGAACAAAAGTCCAGGAGCAGATGGCTTCACAGGTGAATTCTACCAAACATTTAAAGAAGAGTTAATACCTGTTCTTCTCAAATTATCCCAAAAAGTAGAAGAGGAAGGAAAGCTTCCAGATTCATTCTATGATACCAAAATCAGATAAAGACACTACCAAAAGAGAACTACAAGCCACTATCAATGATGAACAGAGATGCGAAAATTCTCAACAAAATACTAGCAAACCAAATCCAACCATTCATTAAAAAAAATCATTCACCACAATCAAGTAGGACTTATTCCTGGGCTGCAAGAATGGGTCAATATTCACAAATCAATCAACATGATACATCACATCAATAGGAGAAAGGATAAAAACATAGATGCAGAAAAAGCATTTGACAAAGCACAACATCCAATCATGATCAAAACCCTCACCAAAGTAAGTTTAGAGGGAATATACCTCAACATACTGAAGGCCATATATGAAAAACCCACAGTTAATATCCTACTCAACGGTGAAAAACAGAGCTTTTCCCGTAAGATCAAGAACAAGATAAGGATGTCCACTCTCACCACTTTTATTCAACATAGTACTGGAAGTCCTAGTTACAGCAATTAGACAACAAAAAGAAATAAAAGGTGTCCAACTGTTAAGGAAGAAATAAAATTTTCACTATTTGCAGATGACATGATACTGTATATAGAAAACCCTAAAGCCTCCACCAAAAAACTACTAGAACTGATCAATGAAATCAGTAAGGACACAGGATACAAAATCAATATACATATATCTGTTGCATTCCTATACACTAATAATGAAGTAGCAGAAAGAAAAATTAAGAACACAATCCCATTTACAATTGCAAAATAAAATACTTAGGAATAAATTTAACCAAGGAGGTGAAAGCCATAAAACCATACTCTGAAAACCATAAAACACTGATGAAAGAACTGAAGACAATACAAACAAAGGGAAAGATATTCCATGCTCATAGATTGGAAGAATTAATACGGTTAAAATGTCCACACTATTCAAAGCAATCTACAGATTTAATGTAATCCCTATCAAAGTACCAACAGTATTTTTCACAGAACTAAAACAAATAATCTTAAAATTTGTATAGAACCACTAAAGGCCCCAAATAATTTGCCAAAGTAATCTTGAAAAAGAAGAACAAAACTACAGATATCATAACTCCAGATTTCAAGATACACTATAAAGCTATAGTAATCAAAATTGTATGGTATGGCACCAAAACAGACATATAGATCAATGGAACAGAATAGAGAGCCCAGAAATAAACCCACAATTATATGTTCAATTAATCTACAATAAAGGAGACAATATACAATGGGAAAAAGTCTCTTCAACAAATAGTGCTGGGAAAACTGGACAGCTACATGCAAAAGAATCAAACTGGACCACTTTCTTACACCATGCACACAAATAAACTCAAAATGGATTAAGGACCTAAATGTAAGACTTGAAACCATAAAAATCCTAGAAGAGAGCACAGGTAGTAATATCTCTAACAACAGCTGTAGCAACATTTTTCTTGGTGTGTCTCCTAAGACAAAGGAAACAAAAGCAAAAAGAAACTATTGGGACTACATCAAAATGAAAAGCTTCTGCAGAGCAAAGGAAACAATCAATAAAACTAAAAGATAAAAGGTCAGTATCCAAAATATATAAAGAACTACAACTCAACATCAAAAAACAAATAATCCAGTTAAAAAACGAGAAGACATAAGCAGACATTTCTCCAAAGAAGGCATCCAGATGGCTGAGAGACACATGAAAAATGCTCAATATCACTCATGCAAATTGAAACTACAATGAGCTATCACTTCACACCTGTCAGAATGGCTAAAATAAAAAACATAAGAAACAACAAGTGTTGGCAAGGATGTGGAAAAAACCCTCGTGCATTGATGGTGGGAATGCAAACTGGTACAGCCTCTGTGAAAGACAGTATGGAGGTTCCTCAAAAAATTAAAAATAGAACCACCATATGATCCAGTAATTCTACTACTGAGTATTTAGCCAAAAAATACAAAAACACTAATTCGAAAAGACATATGCACTCCTATGTTTATTGCAGCCTTATTTACAATAGCCAAATTATGGAAGCAGCCCAAGTGTCCCCTGATGATGAGTGGATAAAGAGGATGTGGTATATATATATGTACATATGCACACATATACATGTATATGTATATATACACACACATACATATACATACAATGGAATATTACATAGCCGTAAAAAAAAGAATGAAATCTTGCCATTTGTACAACATGGGTGGATCTAAAGAATATAATGCTAAGTGAAATAAATCAGAGAAAGACAAATACCATATGATTTCACTCATATGTGGAATTTAAGAAACAAAACAAATGAACAAAGGGGAAAAAAAGAGACAAGCAAAAAACCACTCTTAACTACAGAGAACAAACAGATGGTTACCAGAGGGGAGGTGGCAGGGGGATGGGGGGGTGGGGATGGGTGAAACAGATAAAGGGGATTAAGAGCACACTTATCTTGATAAGCACTGAGTAATGTATAGAATTGTTGAATCGCTATATTGTACACCTGAAACTAATCTAACACTGCATGTTAACTATTTTGGAATTAAAATTTTTAAAATAAAATAAAAACAAAACAAAAAGAATATGATTTTAGGACATATGAAAAGCATTAGGGCAGAAGGAGGTGGAAGGTTAGCTCTATCCTGTGCTGGTCAGACCGCTGCTGACTTTAGAACAGGCATCAACAAAAGGAACATGTTTGGCAAAGAGTCTAGGGCGCTGAGGCCACTCAAAATGAAAGCTAATGAGGCAGGATTTACAAAACCAGGTATGGTTAGCCTGGAGACATGAAAACCCAGCTCCCGACAAGCAAGCCAGAGACTGTCTTGTGGAATTAGTCTCTCTGGGTTGCCCCAGAGAATAGGATCAAGATCAATGACCAGAAATCCTAGTGAAGCAGATTTTTGAAGATAACAGAGATGAGGGAAGACATTATAATATCTACAGCCAGCCAGAGGCCAAAACAAAAGGGCTATTTGGGGAAGGAGGGAAATTTTCATCCTGGGGCTATTCAAGCAGAGACTGGATGACTTCTTGGTAGGAATATGAGTGAATGAGATCAAGCATCAGATAGAAGATTTGAGGTCCCTTACAACCCCCAAATTCTATGTTCACTAAACACATGTTGAACTAAAGCCCCAAGGCCCCTTATCCTTGTTCTTCCTTGCCCCAACCGAATAGAATGTAAGTGATCTGGGATTTTACATGAAGGGCTTACAACTCACCAGCAATTTGCACAGATCCCCCAGGGCATGGTTTCCAAAGCCCACACCCCAACTTAAGACACCTCAACATGACAACCATACACTAAACTTTAGGGCTGTTACCTGGGGCTTCCCCCAGGCTCCATTTGCCATTTTCCTCACACCTTACTGAACACAACTCTCTGGTTTTTTCCTAGGTTAGCTGTAATACCATTAATCCAGGATCAATGCTGATGCTCCCCACTGGTAATTCACTTTTTTGCATTTTACAAAGCCAAGCCAGACACCTTAATTTGAGAAGCATGTTGGGAACGTTTTAGCTCTCACTGATTCACATGGTGTTGCTGGCTCCCACTAGCTCGGGCTGCTCCCCAAAAGTCACTGCCAGCAGGTCAGCAGACAGTGGGTTCTGGGTCCAAGACGCCACTTACTGTAAAATAAAACATTTCTGTTTCCTGCTGGTTGGCTCTCCTTTTGGCAATGTTGATCTTGCTCATGTAGGTCTCGGAGGCAGCCGACTTCACAGACTCTGTAGATCGACTATGCTGGAAGGCATCAGAGACATCGAAGTCCTCCACGGTCAGCATGTCCTGCAAGGTCTGCATGGTGGCATCCAGGGTTTTCCTAACCTGGAGAAACACAGCACGTCAACAAAAACCCTTCTGCCTCGGAACACCTTTGACCCCTCAAAGTCTCTTTGCCCACTTTTTTCTTCCATGTAAAGCCTACAGGAGGTGGGCAGGACAAAGACGATCATTCCCATTATACTGATGTGAAAAGTAAGGCGAGGGAGCTGGCTGGGGTGAGAACCCACGTTGCCCAATCTAAAGTCATTTTATTGGATTGCTTCTGCTGAGGAGAACCTTGGAGAATGTTGTGACGAACAAGGAACCTGGGTTTCTAGGTTTGTTTCTCTTTTCCTGATTATATGGCCCCAAACTAGCTCCTTCTATGGGGAGGCAGGTCTCTTGAAGAGGGATGACATTAGAAATACTCTCAGGGCTCATCCAGAGAGAAGAGGGGACAAAGTCTAGACAGGATGAGGGGCCATCCTCAGTGGACAGGCTCTCTGGCTACGCGCCCCTGACTTATCAAAAGGCTGACTGAGAAAAGAGAATGAGGAAGACACATGCTGAGCCAGTCCTCCAGGACTCCAACTTCTCTCCTGGAGTCAAGTGGGACCCACAGAAGGCTACACATGCAGAGCACACGAGCCCTGACCTCGCAACATCCCTTCACTGACTTGTGCCCTATACTTTGATGGAGGGTCACTCCAAAAACAGTGACGGGGGAGACTGTGTCTACAATCGTTGTTAAATTGTTGTCACCCGAAGTCTTTCTTGTCATTCAGATCTCAACTGAAATGTCACCTCCTGGTGACATCAGAGCTCCCTGACTACTGTTCCTGACTTAGCGGGCATCACTGTTCGATATTGTGTGTACCCATTCATTTGTCGGTTTGTTTGCTTTTGTGTTTATATCTGTCTATCTTTCCTCACTAGAATATAATCTCCATGAGAGGAGGTACCATGGTGTCTTGTTCATTCACTTTACTCTGCATCTAGCACAGTGTTTGGAGCATAGTATGTGCTTAATAAATACTTGAATAAATACCGGTTGAATGAATACTCGTTGAATGTATAAATGAATGGATCAGTTCTTTCTAAGATAGCCTAACAGAAGTTCAGGTACAAAATTGAGCATTTCCATAGCTATACATGGCCCATACAGAGGAACATTTGCTTCATTTTCTCTGGGGCCCTGATTTCCAATTTAAACCCCATCAACATTGATTTGCATATACTGTTCCATGTAAACAACTGAAAATGCTTCAGGGGAGGATGTAGAACACAAATAAATACAGAAAACACTTTCTTCATCTCCTTTCTCTCCTCAGGTGTGCAACATAAATATATAATTCGTTTCTGTATAACCTCCCCCCAGGGGCAGCTTTGATTCATTATCATCCCGCGTGACAATCTGTCTCATGTCTATCCTAGCTCTGTCCTTTGTGGAGACACAGAGCAAACCAGCCCTCTCTGACCAGGACAGCCCTCTTGAGATGTGAAAACAGGGACCATGACTCCCCACCTCCAGCTGTGATTGCACTCCTCAGTGATAAACCTGACCAAGATTTTAGGTGACATTCCCCGCATCCTGGTGTCCTTTCTCCAGGGGCCTCCAGCTGGTCGACACCCTCCCCGCATGGAGGCATCCAGGCCGGAATAGGATGTTTCCCATCTGGACTCCTCAGTCCACATCAAAGTAGAATTACCGCAGCTGGTGTTTCCATTTGTACACTCCCAGTGGTGATGCTGTGTCCCCAGCTCCATGGGAGGCGCGCTGGCCATGATAAGACAGATGTTCCTTGGAGCTCACAATCCATGACACGTTTAGTGTGCCCTGGCTTATTTCATTGTGTCATTTAAAATACATGTAACTATCTTTGATAATAAAAATAACACAAACTCAACGCAGATACTAGATAAAGCATAAGAAGAAAACAGAAATCACCTGTAATTCTTCTACCCAGATATAACCACAATGAACATTTCAAAGTATTTCCTTCCAGGCTTTTTTCTTGTGAATAAACACAGACACATAGGATCCTACTCTAGTTTACCATCCTTAGGATAATACTGAACACAGAGTTCTACTTTTTGTTTTTCTTTAACATCTGTGAGCATCCCCCCACGCCACTGAAGATTCTTGGTGGGCCCAGTTTTAATGGTCATGTAATAATCCATCCTTTTTTTAAGATTTATTTATTTTAGAGAGAGGGGCAGAGAGAGTGAGAGTGGGGGAGGGGGAGAGGGAGTGGGGGAGAGAATCTTAAGCAGGCTCCACACCTAGCGCGGAGCCCGACGTAGGGCTCCATCTCATGACCCATGAGATCATGATCTGAGCTGAAATCAAGTGTCGGATGCTTAACTGACTGAGCCACCCAGGCACTACCCCCCCATCGTGTAATAATCTATCTTACAGATGAACCCTAATTTCTTATGCGTTCCATGGCCAGGGTTCCAGCACAGCCAGGCCTTCGTCAGGAAATCCCCTGCAGGGCAGAGGGGCCCACTTACCTCCTCGTTCTCTATCTTGAGAGTGGCCAGTCTGGACTGCAGCTGGTGGTACCGCATGAGCAATTCCGTCTGGACGGGCTGCTGAGCACTGACCTGGCAGACCTGCGAAAGGACAGCCACCACCTGTGGTTGCCCGGGGCTCTTAACCACCCGGGTAGAGCCACAGCCGGGGCCACACTGACGCCCCTACCAATGGCGGAGGAGACAGGCTTGGAAAGGTGAAGTGACCTGCCCAACATCACAGAGCTTCCATCTGGCAACACCAGACAGGAACTGGGGCTCTTCCTCCTCCAAGGGCCACCCTCTCACACTGCAAGTTGTGGCCTCTCTGTCATGGCCTTCTAGATGTGCGCAGCCCTTGAGGGTTTACCAAGAGCCTTAATGTAATCTCATTAAGTGAGACTAGCTCATTTCAAGGCAGGAATTTGTGGTAAAGCAAGAGCCAGACAGACGCCAATGAGAAGCACGGTGAATGGAAACGTTCAGTGGAGCCCTCCGATGCCCCAGCAGGAAGGTGCTTCAGTGAGGCAGAGCACTCTCAGGGGGAGCGGGAGCAGAAGGTGGACACAAATACTGTTCCCCCTGCACCCACTCCACCCAGGGCTCTGCTACTACCCTGTGGGCTGGGCCATCTGGCGTGACTCAGGGGAGATCATAAGGGAGAACAGGGCTCTGTGATTGACTGTCATTTACCACTAACTAGGCAGTCACCAGTGGTGACTTTGAGTCCAGAATTTTCAGGTCCAGATGATGGACCAAAGGGCTGGACGCAACGGCTGAGGGATGGGCCAGAGGCTGTGGGGAGGCCCCGCAGAAGGCCTCTCTTTTGCAAATGAAGAAAGTGGGGAGGGATGCAAAGGAAAAGTTCAAGGAGCTTTTTGCATGAGGGCCTCTGTACAATTGGAGGAACCAGTGCGGCCAGTAACAAGTGCCTTCCCCCAGGTACTTATTTATCTATTCCAGAACACGGCAAGGAGCTGAGGGGCACAAACACTGAAGGGAGCGCAGTTGGAGACACGCCTCCTGGACTGGAGGACAGGCAGTGCCCCGGCAAGGCTGCCGGCCAGAGTGACTGAGGTGAGGCCCAGCTTCCCGTGATCCGAGGTCACCCGATGGAAGACAGGGAGATGCCTGTGTGGCGATGTGGGACTCTCTTGGGGTCTACACATAACTGGGAAGGACCTGAAGGAGAGCAGAGGTCCTGCACTTCTGCAGGCAAGATACTTCAGCCAGCAAAGTCAGGATATTAGTGGTAAACACCTAAGCTGGGCAGCCCCTGGACTGAGAACTTGACCTCAGGCCTCTGAGAGAAATGTCCCGTATGTGAACAGGAGCTGGTGTCACCCTCCCACTGATGTTCTGGGAGCCCCTGGGAGAAGAGGCAGAAGCAGCCTCCAGCATGGGCTCCTGGGAGAAACCTACCTCATCCCCCATGTGGGGCTGGAACTCAAACTTGAGCGGGGGACAGAAGACCTGGTTGCACATGTCCATGACTGTGTGCTTGTCACTTCGGGAATCCAGGTTGTCCACCGCATTCTCGATGACATCCAGCCCCTCGTGGCGAGAGGTCTCCAGGTTGTACTCAGCCGAGAGGTAGGTCCGGAAGGTGCGGGCCAGGCTGGCATGAAAGCCCAGATCACAGCACTTGGAGAGAGGCACACAACAGAAGGGTGCAGGTAAGGGCTGTTACATGGAGGTGGGGGCCGCCGGCATTCCCTTTCCCATCACGGTGACTTAAGATGACCTCCCTTTCCACAGTCAAATCTTTCATCCCGAAGGCCCTTGTACACTCTGGACTCCTACTGCACCAATCACCCAAAGCTTTCAGAGGGAGCTGCGGAGTGTGATTTGGGCAGCAGCAGAACTTCTCTTAGCTCCCCAAAGTCATCACATTCTTTCTCATCTCTAGCCCTTCACATATGTATTCCCTCTGCCTGGAACACAGTTTCAGTTTAGAGGTCACTTCCTCCAGGAAGTCTTCCGTGATGTTCTCCCCACTCAGAGTTTATGCCAGGCATCCCTCCTCTGGGGGTCCACATCCCTCCACCTCCCTCACTGGGACACCTGCCATTTGGCTTTGCAGCTGCCTATTAATGTGTCAGGGTTAGGCACCGCAAGCTCCATGAGGACAGACCCACAGGTTCTTGTCCATTGCAGTGGCTCAAGGGCTAGTAGATGTTCAAGAAAAATGTGGTAAATGAAGAAAGGAGAGGACTGGAAAGAGTGAAAAGTTTTGAGAAAGAGGAGGGGTCTGGCCTCAGGCATGGGAAGGTACAGGCAGGGCTGAGCAGCTCCCTCTCCTGGGGATGGTGGCAATGGGTCCCTTCTGCAGCCTTGGAAAAGCGGTGACCCTCTGACTTCCTGACAGAGGAACAGGATCCATCCACCAGTACGGAACCTTTCCTGAGCATCTGCGGGCCAGACCCCTGTCTGCGTGGGATGGGCAGGACACAGGAAGCAGCCCCGGCACTGACACAGATGATGCGGAAGCTCTTCATGATGATGCCACTCGTGATGTTCTTTCTCCAACCCACCTGCCCCTCCAGCAAAAGCTAGACAGCTGCTACTCAGGAGTCAGTGTTCCACTCTTCGTTGGCTAAAACTGCCTGATTACTCCCATGATAATAACCCCTAAACCTACACACATCTACACCACCCTGGGAAACGGTGTGCGATCACCCCTGTACCCCCAAACCCAGCAAAGGGCCTGGGGCAGAGAAGGGTACTTGGAAAGGGCAGGTGGAATAGAGGCCTGCCTGACCCAATCACGTGGGGGCTGCCAGAGGCCCACTCCCACCCATAGGCATAGAAACCAGGAGGTGATACTCATCTCCCAGGCCCCAAATGCCCATTACCCTGCCCCAGGCTCAAGGGACATGCACATCGGCTTCAGACAAGGGCCGGCCCGGGACTAGTCCCGGACTCCCCAGGTGCTCACGTCGATTAGGTCGGAGACATCGTGGATGTAGTATTTGCTGATAGCTGCATTGGTGGCTGCCAGATTCAGCAAGTAGTCGTTCCGGGCCTTTGTGCATTTCAGCTTGTTCTCAGAATACTTGGCCTGCCTCTGGAAGGAGAACAGAGTAGAGGTGAGAGCTGAGGCATTGACCTGGTTCTCGTCCCTCTCTCAAACCCTCTTCCTTCTGGCTCCGCGTTGCCCAGCCTCCCCTGCCCTTCCCTTAAGAGGCCAAGTTCACCCCTGCCTCTAGGCCTTCAGACTCGTTCCGTCTGCCTGGCAAGCCATCCTTCCAAGTCCCTACATGGCCTGCTTCATCACATCCTTCAGGTCCTTACCCAAGGTCATGTGGTCAGAGCGGCCTCTTGTCTGGAAGCGAGGCTTTAGCGTTCACACTGCCCCTCCCCCTGCATTCCCTTGCCCAGCTCTATTATTTTCATTTATTCAGTCTTTGTTCAATTTTTAGTGATTATTCTCATTTTAATTTACTTTTTGAAAGACTATATTTTTAGAGCAGTTTTAGGTTCACAGCAAATTTGAGAGGAAGATACAGAGATTTCCCATACACTCCCATGCTAGCCTCCCCTGTTATCAATATCCCCCACCAGAGGGTATATTTGTTACAACTGATAAACCTACAGTGACACATCATAGTCACTCAGAGTCCATAGTTTACATTAGGGCTCACCCTTAGTGTTTTATATTCTATGGGTTTAGGCAAATGTATAATGATGTATATATCCATCATTATAATATCAAACAGGGTAGTTTCCCTGCCCTACAAATACTCTGTGCTCCATCTATCCATCCTTCCTTGACACCTAAGCCCCTGGTAACCACTGATCTTTTCCCTGTCTCCATAGTTTTGCCTTTTCCAGAATGTCATCCAGTTGGAATCATACAGTATGTGGCCTTTTCAGATTGGCTTCTTTCACTTAGTAATATGTACTTAAGGCTCTTCCATATCTTCTCAGGGCTTGCTAGCTCATTTCTTTTTAGCACTGAATAACATCCCATTGTCTGGATGTACCACAGTTTACTTATCCATTCACCTGCTGAAGGACATCTTGGTTGCTCTATTTTTCTTCATAAGCATTGTTCACCACCTGAAATTCTATTTTTTACCTCTTTGTTGACTTGCTGGCTTTTGGTGTCCACCACTAGAAAGTAAGTTCTAGGAAGTCAGGGACTTGATCTGCCCTATTCATCACCGGGCCTGTAGCACCCAGAACTCTCTGCACAAAGTAGGCATTAAGCACTTTTCACTGGCTGCCTGGACATGAATGGTGGGAGAGGCAGAGTGGGCAGCTAGAGGTGCTAGTCTTGGCCAGGAACTGGATGGCCTCCCTGGGAAGCTGCTTCTATCCTGGGCCAGCCTGGGCAGGTAGAGGTAAAGAGAAAGTGGGTTGGAGAGTTGTCCACTTGCCCCTTTCAGGTGATGAGTCCCATTCCGGGCAGAAAAACAGCTCTCCTTAAAGAAACACCCCTTCACCTAGGCACTCTTAAATCTTCCTTATTCCAAGCAAAACTATGGAAATGGCCCCAGTGTCCACTGATGGATGAATGGATAAAGATGTGGTGTGCGTGTGTATATATATATATGTGTGTGTGTGTGTGTGTGTGTATAGATATATACACACAATGAAATATTATTCAGCTATAAAAAGAATGAAATCTTGCCACATGCAACAACATGGATGGACCTAGAGGGTATAATGCTAAGTGAAATAGTCAGAGAAAGACAAATACCATATGATTTCACTCATATGTGGAATTTAAGAAACAAAACAAACAAACAAAAAGAGACAAACAAAAAAAACACAACTCTATAGCAAACAAACTGGTGTTTACCAGAGGGGAGGTGGGTTGGGGGATGGGTGAAATAGGTGACGGGAATTAAGAGTACACTAATCATGATGAGCACTGAGTAATGTACAGAACTGTTGAATCATTATATTGTACATCTGAATCTAATATACTGAATGTTAACTATACTGGAATTAAATTTTTTAAAAATTTAAAATTTTTAAAAAAGCACCTTTTTTGTTCCAGATCAAGTTCTTCTAGCTATTTAGTAGAGATGCTTCCATGTCAACCTTTGAATTCTCTTCAGAGATCTCCTCTGACCTTTCCCCAGGGTCTGCCTAGTCTAGGAACCAGACTTCTCCTGGTAGTACAGTCCCATACGAGCCATGCACCCACCCCCTCACAGAGAGCTTTGATACTCCTTACCCATTTCCAGGGGGCTACAATGACGCCCCAGACCACTTTCAGCCCTACATGGATTCATAAAATTTTATACCTAGAAAGGATATTAAAGGTATCTTAGTTTAATTCACCCATTTTACAGATGAGAAAATGAAAACCAAAAAGATTTAGTAGCTTGGGGGCACGTGGCTGGCTCAGTTAGTAGAGCATGTGACTCTTAATGTCAGGGTCATGAGTTCGAGCCCCATGTTGGGTGTAGAGATTACTTTAAAAAAAAAAAAAAGTGGCTTGTCCAAAAGCCAAATGGATAATTAGCATATAACTCTGAACTAAATTAGTCTCCAGACCTCCCAGCAGGTGGTCTCTCTTCCCTTCTATTTATCCCCCATGTTGTAGTTCTGTAATTCCCTGCCTGCCTGTCTTATTTTTATTTATTTATTTATAGTATATTCACAGAGTTGTACAACAATCACCACTATCTAAATTTAGAATATTTTCATCAACTCAAAAAGAAACCCTCTACCCATTAGCAGTCACTCTCCATTCTGCTCTGCCCCAGCTCCTGGCAACCAATAATCTGCTTTCTGTCTCTATGTATTTATCTATTCTGGACATTTCATATAAATAGAATCCTAATATTGTGACTGGTTTCTTTCACTTAGCATACTGTTTTCGAGGTACACTGTGTTGTAGTCTGTATCAGTACTTCACTCCTTTTCCTGGCTGAATAATATTCCACCACATGGCCAAACCACACTTTATTCATCCAGGTGGACATCTGGATTATTTTTACCTTTTGGCTATCATGAATAATGCCGCTAGGAACATTCATGTGCAGGTTTTTGTGTGGATGTATGTTTTCATTTCTCTGAGTGGACACCTATGAGTAGAATTGTTGAGTCATAGGATAACTTTATGTTTAACATTTTGAGGAACTGACAAATTGTTTTCCAAAGTGGCTAAACCATTTTATGCTCCCTCCAGCAATGTGTAAGGGTGCCAATTCCTCTGCAACTGCACTAACACTTGTGATTGTCACCTTTTTTTATTTTAGCCAGCCTAGTGGGTATGAAGAGGTATCTCACTGGGGTTTGGATTTGTATTTCCTTAATGACTAATGATGCTGAGCATGTTTTCATGTGCTCCTTGGCCACTCTTGTAAGTTCTTCAGAGAAATGTCTATTCAAATCCTTTACCCATTTTTAATTGGGTCTCTGCCTAATTATTGGGGAGCTTATTTTACTTTGACTTTGGAAATTACCCTGGAACCTTATTTTATTTGCCTATGGCTACTTTTCCAGCTCACCCAGGCCCTGGTGAATTTTGTTTCTACTCAATCTCCTACCATTTTTAAGAGCTACAGGCTCATGTAATCATAGAATGAGACACAGAGAAGCCCAAATAAATATCTGGTGCAATGTTGGGTACATAGAAAGAGCTCAGGAAATGTTTACTGATTGCATGGAATGAATAAATGCAGAGAACTCAACAAGAAAGTCATAGCTTTTACAAAGAAACTTTAGAAGTAACCTAGGCTAGGATAACAAAAGCATGTGTGCTGCCCCTCTAAATTCCCTGGCCATCGCAGACATCATTAATTGATCACAGCACTGTTTTTAACTAATGCCTGGAGGGAGCTTCACAATCTTCAACACAGAGCTCTGGGAAGCTACTACCAATCGATCAGAGCTGACCTGAGAGAGAAGTGTCATTTGCCATCACGGTCAGATTTTAAAACCGAGGCTCAGAGAAGTACTGTAAATGGGGCACTTTCAAAACCCAGACTGCGTGACTCCAAAACTAGCACTCATTTCACTGTGCCCTACTAAAGCACTTGTCCAGCACCAAGACACAGTGATTCTAAATCTCCCATCTTTGGCTTGTAAGCAGCATTCTGGAATGGGTTCTTTATTGGGTTCCCAGGTGCTGGTTGGTAGCCCAGTGCTGTTTCCTCTTATTGGGACATGCTCAGCCCCAACCAGCCCTCCAGCCACAAGATGGCCTCCTGAGCAAGCCCCGGCCCCCACAGATGCCTGGTGATTCCTGCCCATCCGAGAATGTGCTTGCTGCATGTGAGTCTTGTCACAGTTCAGCTCTCTTGTCAGCTGAGCGCTTTCCCTGCCTGTTGATCCTGGCACGAGGCCAGGCCTAACAAGTGCTAGCGAGGCATGGCCAGCCCTGCCTCCTCCATGACAATGACCTCCAAAAGTGCGCCTGCTGGTACCATGCTTCTATCTCCCACCCCTCAGCGTGCAGAGGGGGGAAGCCGAGGCTGTCAGCAGGGAGTATGCCCCCCTCCCTGCCCTGCCAATTTCTCCTAGGCCCTCACTCACCTTCTCCTTCATCTTCTCAATCTTCTTCACAGAGCTGCGGCGCTGGGGCCGGTCCTCGTGCCGCAGCAGGTTCATGCTGAGGTCTCCCGACTTGTTGAACTGCTTCTCCTCCTGCTTCTCAGCCTCCTTCAGCTTGCTTTCTGCGCTGATGCTCTCCGCGTGGTACATGTGGTAGGTTTTCATGACCTGGGGACACACACGGCAGGAAATCAGCAGCCTGCACGGCCCGGCATGCGGCCCCAGTGCTCCCAGCCCCCTTCGGGTTCTGCGTGCCAGTAAGCTGCACCCTGCCCTCTTCCCACCACACACTCTGAGCTCCCCATGGTGCTTTACTTGCACACAAGCTCTGCAGACTGGAAATGATGATGATCATCAGTAGCAGCTTCATGCCATTATCATCCTCAGCAACATCATGAAGTCCTTACTGAATGCCAGGAATGGACGAGGACATTTAAAAGCCCCCGTGCATTTGGGGGTCTCAGAGGTGATAGGACATACTTGGCCCTCCCTCAGCTCCCCTCTTTGGCCCTGCCAGCCATGACTCTTGTCTCTTTCCTCCTCCCCACCCAGGGTCCCTGGGAAGGCCCCTCCTCAGATACTCATGGAACTTCCATGGGAACATGAAAATTGTTTTCTCAGCTGTTTCCTTATTGGCCTGCAAATGGCTCTGTCCCCAAAAGGAGTATTACTGGATATAATTGCTATTCTATGCTTTCTGAAATAAACTCATCCTTGTCTATACAATGAATTCCCACAAAGCAAACCACACTTTGCTCTTCTACTCCCATAGTAAAAGTCAGATATTGTTATAACAAGGGAGTCTTTGAGACAAAAGAAATCCTAGACGTTATCTAATCCAACCACCAAATTTTACAAATAGGGAAACTCAGGCCCAGAAGGACAAAGTGGCTTATCCACAATTGTACAATATCATCAGTGTAATCTCCAAACTTTGCATTCGCGGGGCCAACACCACAGTCAAGCTACAGAACACTTCCACTACACCACAAAGATCCCTACCCCCACCCCCAGCCCCAGACAATCACTGATTTGCTTTCTGTCACTGTAGTTGAGTTTTGTGTGTTCTAGAACTTCATATACACGGAACCAAAGCATATAAATTCTTTGGGGTCTGCCCTCTTTCGTTCAGCATAATTTTTCTCCCATGTTGTATCAGTTTTTTATTGTTGAATAGTATTGCATTGTATATCACTATTTGTGTATTTATTCATATGTTAATAGTTACTTGGGTTGTTCGCAGTTTTGGTCTGTTATGAATAAAGCTGCTAAAAGTGTTCATGTATAATTCTTTGTGTGGACATACGTTTTCATTTCTCTCAGGTAAATACCTAGGAGTGGAATGGAGGGTCGTATAGGAAGAGTATGTTTAACCAAATTAGAAATCTGGTCTCTGACTTTTAATCCACCACTCCTTCTACCATATCATACTGTTTCCGTAATTCAATACCATTTTCTCAGTAGGTATGAACAGTTTGGGCAGCCTTAGAGCAAGCCGGGCAGCCCCATACCAATAGGACTCTATCTCCCAGTCCCCAACCAGGAGTACACCTTTCCTGTGCAATATCAACTTTATGATCATCCTTCTGTGCTAAGAAACACAAGAAACTTCCGGATTCCATGGCTCCTGAACCTTGTTTGTACTCTTCTCTTGTTTGGATAATTACAGCAGCTAATAGAACAGAAGCTTCTATGTGGGGCTAGGATATGCTCCTCCCTAGCAGGGCCATTTAAATCAGGGAACTTGGAATGGATTCCTGACCAGCATTATAACCTTATTCATTCTCGTATGAAGTCCTGTGAAGTGACTTTATTATAATCAAGAATTATTCTGTAACTCTTACCATTAAATCACAGCAGTGATCTGTTGCAAGAAAGTAGGCCAGGAGTTAATGCGGGGAGCATCTGTTGTAGAACATGGTAGGTATTGTAAAGTATGAACTCTGGTACAAATGTCTGGGCTGAATCCTGATGGTGCCACTTACCAGCTGTGTGACCTTGGGCAAGTCATGGAACTTCTCTGACCTCCACTTCCTCATCTGTAAAATGGGAATAACCACACCACCTACCTCATAGATTTGTTATGAAGACTAAATGAGTTCATTTAGGTAAAGTGCTAAGAACAGTAAGAGCCACGTAGACATCAGCTGCTAAAACCACCACCACCATCATCATCACCCCTGATTTGGGCTGAGGGTTTGAGAACCTTGAATTTACTCACTTGGCTTCAGGAAAATGCTTACAAACTCTAAAGAACATTAGCTAATATGCAAAATTTCATTCTATACCATCTTTCTCCTTCGTCTTTCATCTTGAAAACCTTCCCAAATTTCAAAACAATAAATGAATAAAAGATGCAATCAACTTTTCTTCACTGGTCTTGGCAGAAGACCTCTTCTCTGCATCCCACCCATGGTTGAGTTTTTGAGTTGCCCTAAAGCCTCTAGAGATACCATTCTCCAAGATTTCATCCACTCCTTATGCCAGTTCCACTAAGCTTATTTCCAAACTCAGGGGACCAAAGTGTGCCAGACTGATGTGTCCTCGACATCTAGTGGCCAAAAGGAATGACTGCAGGCTCATAGGTAACCAAAGCAATTGCCAATTTTTCCACCACCTTTATTAGGCCAGGGCTCCCTCAATGTCAGGCGGCTAAGACTTGGGACTGCCTGCTGAAGTCTGTCTCTCAGGCCCCTGCCTTTCCGTTCTCAAAGCTTTTCTCTTTTCCTCCACATTCACCACTGGTTTCTTTGCTTCTCTACCATGCTGCTGGTGGTGTTCATTTCTGGACTCACCCCTTTCTGGGTTCAATGATTCCTGCTAAAGCCACTTTTTCTGTTTCAGCTGCTGAAGTCTGCTTATCTCACCATTAATCTATCATCTGTGTTGAACAGTTCAGAGGAAGAGAGAGCATTTCTATTTGTAATTAGATCTTCCTGTCCAATCATCCATGCATCCATCCATCTATTCACTCAAGGTCAGCATCCCAGCTGGGTGTTCTCAGCCTCCCACATTTCCCTTTGCCTAGTTTTCCACTCGAACCACAGAGTACTCTTCTGCTCTACAACAAACCAAGCTTCCCAGTACACTCTCTGAACTGAGTTACGAAAGTCCCATGCTTGGAGAGCATAGCCAGAGGACCCTGGGGCCAAACTCTCAGTGATCCAATTGATAATTCCTGATCCTAAGAATAACAATGAACTTGATTGCCCAGGGTGATTTATGTCAGACAGCTGCCACAAAAGAGTTTACCTGGGGACCTCTCAGAAATGAGTCTAACTATATGTAGAGTCCTCTAGATGTTTCCTTTATTTAATTACCTGAAACACGGGCTCTAGCATGAAAGGTCCTTAGCTCAATAGCTTGGAAGAGTCTGCTCAATATTGCCAGTCCAGGATGCGTTAAATAATATTTAAACTTATCAATTACTTCACAGTCTGCAAACCTCTTTTTTTTTTTTATCCCCAAGGAGCATTTCAATTAATCTTCAACCCCAACCCTGGGAGGCAATATGATACCAATAATGGTGATAGCAGCTAACATTTACTGAGCACTTACTACATGCCCAGCCTTGTTCTAAGCACTATACATATATTAATTCTTTTATCTCTCACAAAAACCCTAGGAGGTAGATACCACATGACCCCTGCTTTACAGATTCAGAAACCACAAAATAGGGATGAAGGGATCCTCTACCCCACAGGGACTCAGGAGACCTGGTTTTGAGACTCAACCCTCCCCCCTAAACTTGCTGGGTGACTGGCAGCAGCTCATCCTCTCTGTGCCACCTGGTGGAGACCAGAATGGGGGTGGATAGGAAGGTGCTCCATAAGTTTTGTGACTATAAAGTGACTGGCTGACAGCAATGTCAGGGCTGGAAGGCAGCAGAGGTGGATGCAAGAGTTCAGCTGAGGCCAAGGCACTGAGACCCAGCCTTCACCTTGGCCCCTCTGAAGAGCCCCTCAGAGGCACCCGCCTGGCTTAATGGGATGTTCACGTTCCAACCCTCCAGACCCTATCAGGGAGGCCCCTTGGAACAAGTCTAGCACCGGCTGAGAAGGATCCTGTAGGGACATATAAATTGAGACCACTGTTCTTCGACACAAATCAGTTTCATATGTTCTCAAAAGGCTCTGCAGAAATCTTGGTGTATTAACCCATCATTGAAAGAAACTGAGGCTCGGAAGTCACAAGTGAATTGTACAAAGTCACACAGCAAGCCAGACAGCTAGGACTTCTGAGCTGTGGACACTGCTGTTTGTAGTAATCACACTGCCTTCTGCTGCATACACTTTGCTTTCTGCATCTTCCCAAATCCTCAGCTCACAAAAACAAGAAAGTAATATATGCATAGTCCTTCAGACCCTCGTTTAAATGCAAAAGAAGCCAGAGGAAATACAGAAGTTGACAGCATCAAAAAAGGGACATGCTGGAGCAAGGTAAGAATTCGCTGTTTGACAACAGGTTCTCAACAGTGAAGTTCACGCGCACTTCTCTACCCCAGAGGCAGGGCCATCTCTGAGCCATCCAAGAGCTGTGTATGGGTAAAATCCTGGGCCAGTGCATGCCAAAGACATCCTCGAAGGAAAAGCGAGTTCCCAAATTTCAGTATGACCACCCATACTCTGCGTGGCCTACATTCTCTCTAGAATTTATAATTGTTATCTTATTTACTCGTTTTGCACGTCTACACACTATCTCACTGCAACTACACGGCAAAGTCCAGAGGGCCAGGACCTTGTTCATGAACATATTCCCTGTACTAAAGCAGACAGTAGTGCCCAGCAAGTATCAGCATATATTTGCATGAATGAATGAATGACAGCTGGCTGGATGTGTAGGTGGAAGGACGGATGGATGGAAGGATGGATAGATAGGAAGATGGTTGAATGGACAGATGGGTGGGTGGGTAAAAGAATGGATGGATGGATGGATGGATGGATGGATGGATGGATGGATGGATGAATGGATGGAAGGAAGGAAATAACAGAGGAAAGAGAGGAGGGATAATAAAGTGGGGAGGATACAGTTCTACTGCCTTTGACTCTGGGGAATACATTTGGAAGTAGGGAGACAGCTACACCTTTGATCAATATTCGTTTGTTCAATATCTGTTCAAATATTATTCAAATATTTGTTCAAATATTTGCTCAATATTTACTGAACAG